GAAAGAGTATTTATGAAGGGGAAAAACACTGCGTGGCAGTGAGAAGTGAGGGAAGAAGTGTGAAAAACAGCCCTGCAGATGCCGAGGTGAGAGCAGAAGGAGGGCAGGAGGACCCCCAGGTGCTCAAGCAGAGATGGACACCCCTGAGGCCCCCAGAGAGCCCACACTGGAGCAGGCTCCTGACAAGAACTGCAGCGTGCGGAGACGAGCCCGTGCAGGAGCAGATTTATCCTGCAGGAGCGTGTTTATCCTGCAGGACTGTATCCCATGAGAGGAACCCCATGCTGGAGCAGCGGCAAAGTGTGACAAGGAAAGAGCGGCAGAGCGGGGCTGTTACGGATTGACCACGAGCCCCTTTCCCCATTGCTCTGCACCACTGTGGGACAGAGGAGCTGGGAGTGAAGGAGTGAAGCTGAGCCTGGGGAAAAAGGGGTAGCTGGGGGGAAGGTGTTTTGAATTTTGTCTTTGTTTCTCACCGTCAATGCAGAATTACTGTCCTGAATTTGACTCAATATATACAGGCTTCAGAATTAATAGTGACTTCCCTTCAAATTGGCTCTCTGTTTCTTGGCTACTCTTGGAAAACTTTGGGTTTCTTTCATTTTTGGAGGAAAGTTTAGTAGTTGCCATTTTTACTAACCTATTAAACTGTTAATGGAAAAAGTAGTAAGAGGAAATAAGAAAAAAACCTAAAAGCTTTAATTAAAGTATCTGTACCTCTAATGCCATGGCTATCTGGAGAAATGTTTCATCTATCTGGAGAAATGTTTCATCATGAATGAATTTAAATGTTTTTGAAGAAGTACTGGTGAGTAACTGCATGAAACCTCAAAACCAGGAGAAATTAATGTTTTCTAATCAAAGATTGATGGGGTTTCACTGTAGCAATTTGAAAGATGTGTTCACTGATGGCAAAGCAAATTCAACTCTGCTAAGCTAGACTTTTTGTCCTTATACTGTGTTGGTTGAATAGAGCAAAGGAAGATTAAAAAATGAGTGGTTTCTGACATTGTGAAGGCTAGTGATGTGAAAGAAATGGAAATGCAGAATGGATTTGATTGTGTTAGGTAGAACTGAGAAGAATTAATAGTTTGGGAAGGTAAAGCAGGATATAATAGTTTGTCAGGATTTGCTATGAGTGAAAGATTCTTCACTGCTAATCTTTAAAATCGTAGTATATGCTTTTCTTCTGTCATGCTCTAATTGAAAAAGAAACTAATTCCATAACCAAGTTAAGTGCATCAAGTAGATTAAAAAAATATTTTTTGGCTTTTTAACTGTAAAGTTAAAAATAGGTTGGAGAATATGGATACAAATAAATAAGGATGAACAAAACAGATAAATGAAATGAGAGTACCAGTGAATTGAATTTCATGAAAGGGAGTACGAGGGAGGTATGAATTTTTTGTTCTCTCCTGCTCTTACTATAGAATGCTACCTTTTTAAAATTATGTTTCCTAATTCAAAGGTATGTTCTTTCTGAAGCAGAAGACAGGTAGAGGACTTGGCATCAGCCATTATGGGACACTTCAATGAAAGACTGAGATACAACAGCCCTAGTGTAAGCTATGCCCTCACCCACAGGGCAATGTCCCACAGGGGGTAAGCACAGAGGAAAGACCTGCAAGTATGGTAACTAGCAGGCAGTATAACGCAGCTTCATTTCGGGTCAGCTGTTAGCACTAGGCTGCATCTGTCCCTCTGCTGTCTGTCTCCCTAACCCCAGCTGAATCTGTTCTGTGGTCCTTACGTGTGAATCTGGTGAGGCTCAGCAACTGGAAATCGTCTCTTTTCTCTGCCACCCACTTGCAGAAATCGGGTCATAATCTATCAAACAAATGTGATCTATCTTCTGGCCATCCAGTTTAATTTTTTTGCATCTGTCCAGTTCTACTAAGGATAAATGAGATACGCATGTGTAACAGGATGAGAAGTTTTCTAACTGCAAGTTATTTATTCATATTTCTCTAAGGCTCTAGAACTGGACTTTCCTCCTCTCAGTCTCAGCCTGCAAAGACGTAGAAGTAATTTGAGTATGCTTCTGAGTATCTTTTGAGGCAGCTTTTCAAAGTCTAGGTTTAAAATACAGAACAAAGTTACACCAAATATGTCAAAAAGGAGACATTACATCCATTCAGAACAGCAATGACTTAGATGTTTTTCATTTCATTGCTTATGCTGATTTTTTAGATAGTAGATTAGATAAGTAAAGAAGATGAAAAATATGCCTCTTTGTAAGATGACAGAGACATATGTCTTTTATTGCCTTTGTCATCTTTGGTGAAAGTGTTGGGAAACGGTAGTTTCAGAGCTTTGGAACACAGACTGTAAATTGGTTTAACCCAATCAAATAACAGCTTTGTTCCTTGGTGTAGGGATAACTTCAGTATTTGTACTCACCAAAGTATTGTAAAGTCACAAAACAGAGTGAACAGCAAATACATACTGAAAGAAATTATTATTCATTTTGTATTTCCATTAAAAGGATGCACACATCAATAACAAAAGCAGTGGGTGGATATCAAATAAAAAGAAAACCAAGAATGGGTGAACATTTTTAAATTAAGCTTTTGCAATGGTTTCATAATGCTGAATTAGATCCGGGCATTAAAACTTACAGTAAGGCTTTTGAAATTCCAAAATGATATGTTTTATAGCAAAGAAAGGAAGAGTAAGGAATGGGTATATCAAGATTTACAGCTCTCACACACAATGCTGTCAGTGATGGTAGTTTGTTCCTAGAATGTAACTTTGTCTTCATACAAGAAACTCACCAATTCTCATCAATGAACTAGGTAATTCTGTGTCTTGTTGTCTTTTGCAAATGGGAAAACGTAGTAGAGGCTCGCAGTATCTTAGTCACTGACAGAGAAAAAATTTAAGCTAATGCCCATCTTCACTGCATGGTGAGGAAAATCTGACTGGCAGTTTTCTGCTCCAACAGTCACTGTATTTTGTCACTAGTATTGCATGTAACCTCTACTGTTAAACAGTGAATGCTAAATTAATTTATGTGACGAAACTAGTCACATAAAACTTAGGGTTGAGTCCCACAGTCATAAAAGTCCCCTTAAGTCATAAAAATAGTCATTAACAGTAAACAATGTGAAAACCTATGTGCGTAAGGATTTAGGAAGTAAATTTGTGTGGAAGAGTGGGCCAGCTATTACAGAGTAACTCTGAAGTTTCATGTTCTCCTTCCCATTTGTGTTTCCCAGCAGAGAGAAGTTCAGTAGTTACACAGATTTGTGTAACTGCATGTTTGTGCATGTGGATAGGTTTTGGCATATTTCCTCAGCAGTTTTTGAAACATCATTTGAAAATTAATGTAGCAAAGGTAGTTTCCAATGTTTGCATTGGCATTCATTATGGTGCAGATACTGTTGTTTGTATGGTACGATTTATTCATTAGAGAAGTGAAATACAGGTTGTGAGGAAAAGATTTCTGTAGCAGAGATGTAAATGAGAAATGAAATGCAAGAAAATGTGTTGGAATAGAAAACTGAAGCTTAGCGAACATGTGTTTGTTCCATATCTGAGCTCTGGATTTTACAAAACTTATTTTACTGTGTCAGAGGAGGAATGTCTAGATATTGCAGGTCTATTATGAATGTCGTTTTTTGAGGCTTGTCAGTCAGATATTTTTCTTATGTAGTCATGTTCAATTCTTTAAATCATTCAGAATATTTCCCGAACACTACAGCAAATCAGATAAGTTTGTAAGAGCAAAAAGTTTATGCAAAGCATTTCCTCATCAGTTCCGATCTGTGATCAATTCTGAATACAGTTATTTAAATAAATATCTAATATGGGAAAAATCTGGTTCATTAACCTTTAAGATTCATTTCCACTTAATTCATATTCCTCCTACAGAGCACATGAATTTATTTGTACTGTGTGCCTTCCTCTTTGTGACATGACTGTTCCTAATGTTGTTGTCACTATAAACTACACTACTGTGACTGCATATACTGCAATAAATTAGTGTTTAATAGAATACGTGCAATGCAGCATTCAGCATATCATTAGTATTATTTTGCTATTTTGGTTTCTTGAAGAAGCTTACAAAAAACCAAAATCAAATCCTAAGGCATCTGAAATCTTAGTGTCGACCTGACAAGTTGTAGATTTAATGTCCGATTGTTCATCCAAGTATATTCTGAGTTCCCCCAAATAATTTTGTTCAAGAAGTTTATAAATAACAGCTTTTCTTTAATATTATCGGATTTTGAGAGGTTATTTCATATACTTTTTAAATGTTCTTTTTTCCTGCTTTGAAAATGACTTCATTAAATTCTTTTGCACAAGCTTTCCAACATTCGAAATATAGCGCATTAGGCTCATTGCTGTTGATTGCATTGCTAGAGCTATACATTGATACGCAAACAGCCAAAATCTGGAGTACATTCAACATTTCAAGATTACAAAATTTGAAATTAGTTTTCTTTCCCTGCTTTTACTGATTTACAGTTAGTATTTTGGCAGTGCATTAAGGCAACTAAGGGAATAGGTGTCAAGTCCTGCTGAGTCTCTAGAATAAAAAGTATTCAATTGATTTTAACTGAACAAAGCTTTTAAAAAACCCTTTCTTCTTTGGAGGCTAAGAAGTAAGCAGTGTACAGCTTCTGTTTCTCCTTTGATTTGACATTATATATGGAGCCAAAGAATAGATATTTATCCATTCCAACAGAAGGCGTTGCGTTAGTAGAGGATCTGCCTGGAAAACTAGTCTGGCAGCTTGAGCTATCCTGTATGATGGTCCGTATACAATAAATAAGGGTGTGTAAACTTCTCAGTGTCAGTTAGTGTATATATACCTTCATGAATTGTATCGGCATGTGGAATAAGATTGGTATGTATGGAATCCTTACATAAAAGAGGTATCTATTCTTCTATATATGCCACTTAACATATAATTCATTCCATACTTCTGAGAGAGACTGGAATCATAATAATAGGGTAAATTCTATGCTATGTGCCCAGAGTAGAAAAAAAAAAAAAGTGATTTATGAAACACTGTGAGTGTCTTACCTCCTTGTAATTAGGTGTTAACATTGTCAGGGTAGTAAAAAACATTATATTATAAAGTGTATTATGCACAACGTTTTTGACAGTCTGTATAATTAACTAATTTTCCATATTAGAGGATTCTCATACAGGGGATCTTGTGACATAGATGTTGTACCTGCCTGTTTTATTGTTCCTGTTTTATTGGTACTAAGGTACACGGTGTGTGCTGCTAGACACTGGCACTGTTTGTAATTATGCAGCCTTCCAGCAACAAAAAGTACATTTCAGTCTGCTGGTTTACGGACAATTGTTGTGACTCTCACGCTTCAGAGCAGCAGGTCTTATTAACTTTGGTGTAGGTCATTTGATGATTTCTTTGCTGCTTCGCATCTTATTTAAGGCTTTCTCATACTTCCCCTACTTTTCACCAAATCGATATTCGATTCATGTCGAAAGGAAAGTACTGTAGTTGTTAATTTACTTGGATGATGTCTTCAGGGATACTTTCACTGTCTTACCATAGTACCATGCCTCAGTTAGGGTGCAAATGTAGTTTTTGTAACTACTGTCAGTGAGGAGTGATTAGTGAAGGTTGTGGTTCAGAGCAAGAGCTGGACATGGGTGATCAGATGTTATATCTATAGTGTGAAGCTATACACTGTGGAAATCAGAGGTGTTTCCCAGACTCAGATTGCATATGAATTCCAGATGGCTTTTGACTTCATGTTGGGTTGAGGCAAATTCTGGCCCATACCCTGATCTGAGAGTAAGGACACCACGCTGCTCAGGCTGAAAGGGAGCTGTGTTGTGATCAAACAGGTCGTCTGACAGGTACATTATGGGCATCAGGGTTATGGGGTGCTGTAAACCTCACTTATTCTTCAATCTAAACGTATCCTAAATCACCCTGTATAAGAACCTGTCTCTCTTCATTACTGTGCAGTGAGCTTCAAGAGACAAAACTATTGGGGCATGTAGATCAGTGGTTCAGCTCCTGTTGGATTAGGATATCAGTTGCTACAATCTTCTTGTCTTTATTGCTGAATTATTTTAGCACCAAATTCTTCAGTATTATATCATGCGGTAATACTGATAAAACCAAAGCTGCTCAGAACTCCAAATAGGAAATGGTAACATAGAAAGTGAGGAAAATTAACTGCGTTTATGTCAACTGCCTGTGATGCAAGACAGGGACAAATTAATTTCCTGTGACCTGTTTGCTCCACTGATTTCTTTGCTATAATATTATGGAAGAACATGTTCCATTATCTATTGCATTGCAAGGAAATAAAAATGAACTATGATTAAATACACCCTCATAATGAGTTGTAATACTGTTTTATATACACGAGAAAATAGACTCTTTTATAGTGTTGCTATTAGGGCACATCACGTCTCAGATGAAATCTGCTTTCCTCAGAGGAGTTCTTTTTCCACTTTATGCCAAAATTATGTATCATTGAAATATTAGTTCACCCATGCTGAGCAATGAAAACAGGGTGTTTTGATTTTGGGAACTAGAAACCTTTGCTTTGTCCTGATTAGTTATGGCATTTCTACCTCTTCAAGAGCAGTGTTTCACTTGTTAGGTTCATCTTTTCAAATCTATGTTTCTACAGAACAGAATTAGTAGACTAAGTTGTTGTAGTAGCATTTCTTTTTCAGAAGTACCCCAAAAGTAAATCATAAAACCTAAACTAATTTCAAGAATTTTGTAGTCTGATTGTCATTTTAGTGAATGAGTAGGTATAAATATTAGTATTATGTAAATGCTGACAAGCTCATGGGAGCTAGAGGGTGTTTATTTCGTTTATTTCAGCTGGACCAAGTTTGATCTTTTTGTTTCTAAGAGATATTTTGTGATCATTAAGATAATGACCAGCTGAGAGCCATAGTTCCAGAAACTGGGATGTATTTAAGAAGATAGTGTAATTATGTGACCTTGTTATTCAAAATTCCTAAAGCATCATCTGTTTACAGATTTTTCAGTGTTATCATCGTTGTGTTTGCAAATGTAAAGACATATGCTACGCAATTTGTCTTAAGTAGAAGCTGACACAGTGCTAACAGTGCTGGAAGCCTTCAAGGCCTGGAGGAGAGAAGAGAAAATACAGCAACTCAGTGTAACAGCTGTCAGCTGTGAGAAAGTAGCATCATTGCTCAACCAGCCACACCGCTTTAGGGTTCTGTCCTTCATTACAGCTCTTTGTATTTCTCAGACTGAGAGAGTGAAATTTCTGTGACATACTTAACACAAGGTGAAATCTGCTGGTAGACTGAAATGTGACTGTAATAGTACCTCCGTAAGTTATGCGTAGTTTACAGGCTCATAGGCAGTTGTTACTGTGTTTCTTTGCTTGTTTTGGGGAGCAGGAGGTTTCTCCGTTGTATCATTAGTGGCAGATAGCATCTAGTGTTACAGTCCTGTGCTGGAAATGTTAAATAGATTAACAATATGGTGGCAAAGCAATGGTTAAGTGAACATCGATAGTAAATGTTATAAAATATAAAGAAAGGGACCAGCCATTCTGTGCTTCTGTTTGAAAGGAAGGGAGGTAAGATGTAATGCTGCTGAGCCTTTATAATATCTGAAGTCTTCTTCCTTTTCAGCGCAATCCTCCCATGCTGGTGAATGATCTGTTTGAAGATATCAAAGATGGGGTGATGCTAATTGCCCTTTTGGAGGTTCTTTCAGGGCAGAAGCTGGTAAGAACTTCCTTCATTCTGAATATACATGATAGTTGCATAACTCATCTAGGATATAATTTTCTAGTATGTTTCTGTATGCAAATACCGTTTAAAACCTGACTGCTACATAGCAAAATAAGTTTATTCACAGAGTGAGCTATCTGGTTAGAAGACAAACAAACAAACAAAAGATGATTACAGACTGACATTCTTGATTTTGTGCATTTTCTGTTAATTTAGACTTACTAGTTCATAAAAATTGTTTATATGTATTAGTCTTTGCAGTTCATCTGGGTGTTACTACTATGACACAAAGTCTAAAGTAGAAGCTACTTCCATACACCTTCAAGAAATAATGACAGTCTTTTATTGTTAAATTTACAGCTTTCTTTCTGAAAAAAAGTTATGAGACCCTCAAATTTCATGGGGTCTTATATCCAGTTACTTTATATCCATTACCTTCACAGCTGCTCTGCTACGGTAAAGAACCTCAGCTGGTGCCAAATGGCTTTTCACAGCCAAGTTGTGTACAGAGGCCATGGTGTGTACGTGGCAAATAGGCTCTCTTCAGAGCTAGTTTCGTGCATGTGATGTGGGAGAAAATTGAAAGGGCTTTAGGCTAAGGGCTCTCGCTTTTTCCAGACCAGCTTACAGGTCGGGTGGCAGCACCTGAAAGAGTAGAGCAACAGTCCCTCCTTTGGCTTGCTCTAGCGTCCAGGCGTTACCAGTTCCCTCACATTTGGGCAAATTTCCAGTACCACACTTTTGCCCCTTTTTCATATTTCACCTTTTTTTTGATTGCATGTGATACCACAAATTAGGTAGTAGTTCAGCCTGCAAGAGTGATTTTACGGTAAGGTGGGAAAAAAGTTGTGGTCTCCAGTGTGTCTGCTCCGCTGAAAGCTACCTCGCTCTGTTTCTGTTCGCCGGAGACAGAAACCTCCCTCTTGTGGCAACACAGAAGCGGTGAAGCAGGAAAAGAATTTTAACGATGGCATCTGTTGCAATGAACTTCGTTAGATAGTATCCTGTCTACATTAATTAGTGAAAGACAAGAGATACCACAGAACCAGAATAAAGTCTGGTTAATTTAAAGGTCATGTATAGCAGAAGATTGTAGTAACTGCAAGAGGAATTTCTGATTCTGTAGCAGGCCTTTGTTAAATCCATTTGTAATATTATGAACATGAATTTAAATGATAGTAGTTGTATATTTGCATTACAATATAAGATTCAGTGGAGAATTTAATTCCACTGTAGAGTATTACAAGCCTAGGACGTGGTCTTGATTGAATTCAAAGAATTCTGTCTTTTTTTAGCCTACATCTCTGAAGTTGAGCAAAATTTGTTGTTCAATGAGAGTTTCTGATAGTTTTTTTTATCATCAACGAGGTATTAGAAGGAATGGATAAAAATCTTATAGGTAGAATGTCTTCACTGCAGACTTATTTTTAATAAGTAACAATAGCCTTGACTTCTCCTTCGCAAGCAAAATTATTTTACTGAGAGAAAGTTGCCTTCTCTCAAATGTATATATGTGTATGTGTGTATAAAAAGAGAAGTAGTTTATTTTTCATAACAAAAACAGTTCTCTGATTTGATGAAGTTTAGGGGCTGAAGCTGACAGCTTGCATCCTGAGGTTATTAAGAATAAGTTTTTTATTAAAGAACTATCACAACTACGTCCCCTTTATCTGTCGGTCCCACCTGCTGGTATATGCAAAAATACATTTTAACTGTTCCAAGAAGCATTTTTACATGTAAATCAGACTAAGTTATGTACATAGGCATTTATAATAATCTAGAACTTCATTTTTTGCAGCAAATTGGCATAAAACTAATTGGTGTTTATACTGTTATTTCTCTTTAAGCCTTGCGAGCAGGGACGTCAGCTGAAGAGAATTCACTGGGTTGCTAACATTGGCACAGCTCTTAAGTTTCTAGAAGGAAGACGGGTAGGTTTGGTAGCACTTAGTCCTGGTTTTGCCCTGTATGTATGCAGTCTTCAGTTTCCATACAGTGCATAAACGCTGCTGTAACATGTAGCAATGCATAGGTTAAAACTTTTCTGTTGTGTTTTTTTGTTGTTTTTTTTTTGTTTTGTTTGTGTTTTAGTTAGAATCACCTTGGATGGTCTCCTTCCTTTTTTTATATTTTTTTTTTTTTATGTACTCTTCGGCTCCTTGTGTTTCCTATTTTCCTGTTGCTGTTCTCAGCAAAGAACAATAGTCTTCAGTTCAGTAGAGACATTCATTTATGATTAAAAGTATGGATTTACGGACTTCACTAGGTTGTGCATGCAAAACTACTCCCTGAAATTACAGACGTGAAGATTTAGAACAGTGTGACCCCTTATTTTCTTGGCAGAACTTCAGACTAATTCCTGGGTTGATTCTGGTAAAGTCAGTGCTGTGGCCATTTTAGAGATAAAACAAAATATTTATAAGTTTAATAAATGACAGAGAACCTGAAAGCTTAATAGGTATGAATATCAAATAAAAGCAATCTACTTATACTTTTTTTTCCTCACTTTTCTCTCTATATTGTAATGACTTGTGTCTGGTTTTTTAGTTAATTACAGATAATTTGTTCTTCTAATTTCTGCATTTTAGTTCAATTTTTCTCCATGCAGATGTAACACCTGATGAATTTTATGTCTCCACAGTGCTATACATCAGGATCTGTTGGGTTTTGGCATTATTTCCCTTTCTTTAACCTTATGGCATCTTGACCTAATTGTATTTCTCTTACATGGGAAACAATCTTAGCAGATGCCTGTAGAAAAGAATCTATAAGAGAACTTTTTTTAATTGAAAGATATAAAACCAAAGCAAAGAAAAACATATTTCCAAAGCAAAATTCAGTTTTAGCTCACGATTTCACTAATTTATGTAGTGCACTTTGTTAATACAAACCACATTGTATGCAGCCTGAGAGAGGAGGCTTAGATACAGAGAGCTGCTTTTGTGTGAGAGCTGTGTTAGACAAGGCTGCAGTGAAGAGCAAAAAGCCCGTGCTTCCCTCGTCTACATGTCACAAATGTAGTGGGTGACCCAGACCTTGAATGACACACCTTAGATCCCAGGAATAATATGGCAGTGCAGCTACATAAATGACCCTGCTGAGGATCAAGACAGATTGCCAGAAATAGAATTCTGTGGTTTTGCTTGTGATATCGGAATATTTTTGTCTGGACTTTTCTTAGATATTTTTGTATGTACTTTGTGTCAGTATGCCAGATTCTCTTCTAGAGGGAGCTGGAAATACGCAGCGCGTCAGGTAGATTGGTGTGCATTAGCAGGTGGTGTCTAGGCTGAATCCAGCCTGAAGGATGCATCTATCCAGTCTGTCACCCTTTTCCTCCCAAAGGAGGTGGGGATGCTGTTCAGACAACAAATGCCTCTTCAGCCGCTGAGTGCAGTCCCGGATCTGTACTCAAAGGTGAACGAGGGGAGAAGGGTGGCTGTGCGCAGCGCTTTAAGGAGTGCCGACAGGGTCTCCTTCCTCCATGGGCTCTCCCATAAGTAAAGTTTATTACATGTTTAATCTAATTCTGGTTTTCACTGTCCAAGCAGACTTCTGCTAATAATCCGGTTACACTGCAAAATGCAGCTGGCAATGAACAGATATCATTCTGGACCAAAGTGGGTTTTTTGTGGTTCTGAAAAGTTTATTTGCTAGTTTTGAGTCCATTTTAATGGAGTATAAGACAAAGGTAACACAAGAAATAGACTAGGGAGGTGATGCTTCTGTGAACAGTAGCCTAATCAGAAGCTTTAGATGAGTCCCTGTAAATCTTTTGATCTGCAATACACATAAGAAATACCTCACTTTCTAGAAAAATAAAAGCTTTTGCTGAAATTGATCCACCTGAGAGAATGACACTCCTGGAATATTTTTCTTTAGGTAGGTAATAGAAAATTTTCCTTATTGACTAGTGGAGAAGCAAGGAATGTCAATTTTCCCGGAGTTTTGTCAGATTTCTTGGTGGAGAGGATTAGAAATATAACCTGTGAGGATTTCTCCTCTGCCTCTACCCAAGCAGCCTGTGGAGTTTCAATTCTGAAAACAGCTTCACAGCCCTGATCAACAATTTTGTGTTTGCTCTTGACATTATCTAGTGGGTTTCCAGCTGCTGATTCAGAGAACTGCAGTCTTTTCTCTGTTTTGGGAAGACAAATGAGGTTACCGCTTTTCTTTAACCTGTTCTCCAAGGTTTTTCCATAACCTTTGTGCATGAGCAAGGTTGCAGCGCATGAACACTTTAGCAGCCCTTCATTTTTATATTATGATTGATGGCAGACCCTTAGTTTTGCTGAGGAAATAAGTATTAACCTGTTTCCAATACTACCTGTTCTATTTGATTTCCTTGAGCATTATCTGCCTGTTAATTTCTTTATGATGTACTCTTTATTCTCTCCTTTATTGCCTTTTCTCTTGTGAACTTATTTTGGGGTGATACTTTATTCAGACTATAGATTAGCATTTGGGAGTTCAGAGTCACGGAATCCGTTCCCATTTCTGTTGAAAAACTGCATGTGACCTTGGACAACTCGTTTTTTCCAACTCTTTTCTTATTTTAAAATAACTATAAACAGGTTTGTCTTGCAAGGGAGCCTTAATCAGTGGTGGCAATATCCTTTGCCATAAAAGGCTCTCTACTGGAGAACTGTGTCATTCTTTTTTGCCTAATCTTTCTTTTATGCTTTGTCCTCCCTTTTTCCTTTTCTTGTTTATTCTTAAACTCACTTTTCTCCTTCCATTCTAAATCTGTTAGAACTATTGCAAGAAACCACTGCATAATTTATTTTCTTTTATGGAATATTAAATTTGTTTTCCTTATTAATTGTGTTGTGAGATTTGCCAAAAATATGCTTTCTTTGCATAATAAAATTTAATTAATGCATTTATCTAATAATTAATCATTTAAGACTTACTTTGTATCATGTTTTTCTCTTTAATTTTCACGCTAGTCCATATACAGAGGATCTCCGGTTTGTATAATGCTTCTATGTAATTTTTATTGTTCTTTCTGCTTGAAATTAATTTTTTTTCTACAAATAATATCATGCAATCGTCTTAAAAATATACTTGTCTAAAAAGTGAAATTGCACCATTCAATATTTTTTAAATTGAGAAACTTGTAGTTTGATTGCAGAAATGCATTAAAAAGATAAAAACTATTTGAAATATGTTTCGTACTTGTTATCATTCCTTGTGTGTGGTAGTAACACGTTTTCTTTCACATATAGATTAAACTTGTGAACATAAACTCAACTGATATTGCTGATGGAAGGCCTTCTATTGTGCTCGGCTTGATTTGGACCATAATTTTATATTTTCAGGTACTACATTTTTTGTACTTCAGTGTAGCTTGCTCAAATAATGATTCAGATCTTCATGTCATATGAACGGGTGTAGTTCCGGTCTTTCACAATAGCTAAGTCACTTTATAATTAGTTGAGGATCTGATCCTGAGTAAAGCAACAGTTGATGGTAAGGGGTGCTTCACATTGGGTACTTGTCTTTGGAAAAGTTTGATCTGGGCTTAGAATGGAGTTCCTTCATCGCTGGAACATATTATTCAACTTTCTTTGAAGAATACAGCAGAGTAACAAAAGAAAATAATAGAATTGTGGATTCTTTGTACAAGTACCTTTAGCAGCCTCGATGGTCATTGTGCTGTATGTCTAATTCCAGTGCAGTGATGTCAGACAGTAATAATATTCAAATACTATATGTAAATAAGCTGATTCCACTGGGAAATGCAGATGTTTGCAAGGACAGAATTTAGCTGTGAATGATATAGATTGCGAGAGGGGTTTGAATTTGTAGAGGAGAACTCATTTGCATTCTGTTGAAGTTAGGTGGGAGGGAAAAACGGTTTTCCAAATCCTGTCCATATGAGTTAACAAAATGAGTCACTGCTCAACAACTGAAACAACAACTGATGTGAAAGCTGTTTAGGGAGTTCTTTGGCTTTGGCTCTCTTGTGATGTAGCTTTTATGTCTTGGGGATGCTGTTTTACTAAGCACCAACAAGTGTGATGCTTCAGTGGTTCAGATCTCCTTTTCAGAAAAGTTAGTCAGAATTATATTAACATTTTTATTTTAATATATAGCTCATTGAGATGCATGGGGGAAATTATGCTTCTCAGAGTTACTGAAACTCTAGTTCTCTGCACTAGTTTTACTTGGGTTGTTTTTAGAGCTTTTCTTTAGTTTTCACGGGCAGATACATCGTTTTAACATGAATGAAAGCAGAAGTGCATTAGAACTGTGGTTCTCATTGTGGCAGACTCATTCTGTGATGTGACACAACTTTGGTTTTTAAGTAGACAGCATAGGCAGTCTTGCAATGTCCTCTGTATATAACTTCTTCATGTTAAAGAACCAAATTATTAGTCCACTTAATGTTTTTAGAAGAGTCAAGTTAATGATTTTCATTTGATGAAAGGCATGATGCAAATAACTGTCATATACCCTCAGCAAGCACTACTAATGTACTTTGCCTGCAGTACACTCACTGTTCCTTCACAAGGTACCTCTAAGCAAAGCCACAATTGAATTTGTGCCAAAACAGTACAATGGTAAATAAAGAACTATCCAGATGAGATCCTTGAGGACACTTCCATTCTTTAATCGAATGAGCCTCCTCTGAAATTAGTGGATTGTTGTATAATTTGAATTCAAGCTAAATGTAAGTCATTGTCTTCTCTTTTAATGGTAATTTTTCATAATAGATAACATGACACACTTGCATATTGTGCTAGCTGTAGGGTGTCAAGAAAGTCAACAGATGTCTTACACTTCTGAAATTAAGACCATCATCTGGGCACATACATTAGCATTTTTGAAACTACTTTAATGTATAGTTAAATAAAACTCAGCGTGTTAATCATAGCTTCTGCCCAACTTTATTTTGTCAGTTGTGTTGGGAAATTGTTTAAGAAACTAGTGGGAATTAAGATTATGCACAAATAGTCCATTAACATTTTTTCCCCACAGATTGAAGAGCTTACCAGCAACCTCCCACAGCTGCAGTCATTGTCTAGCAGTGCTTCTTCTGTGGAGAGTGTTGTCAGTTCAGAAACTGCAAGTCCCCCAAGCAAACGCAAGGTGGTAACCAAGGTCCAAGGAAGTGCAAGGAAGGCTTTGTTAAAATGGATACAGTACACAGCGGCAAAGTAAGTAACCCACAAATGAACCAAATTTACATCTTAAGTGTAAACTTTTTTTTCAGATTATAAACTCTCTTGGGCAGGGATTGTCCTTTGGCTCTGTATTTATATAGCACCTCCTTGTGATCATATTCTTGTTGACAACTGAGGCTGCTAAATGTTACCACCATACAAGAAACAAGTAATGAAAACCAATTTGCATTAATTTTACAGTCAGTCACATTCTGTAGACTCTGAATAATGAATGAGATTATCTATACAGAATGAGGAACTGAAAGCGGAATTAGATGTGTCAATGACAATGTATTAGTCCTGCTGTCAAAACACTCGATGTGACAATGCAAGTCCCACACTGACTTAGTGTTCCTCACTGACAGAGCTTGTAGGAGCACTGAATTCTGGCACTTGCCGTTGAAAGGCAGGTGATGAAAAATTATTAATGTCCTTCTGCAATTTTGTGATACAAGGGAAATATTACTACAAAAATTGTCCTGAATTTTCATTCTTTTTAATCCAAGTTATTTTGGAGTTATTTCTTGCTAACCTAAGAATCTTCACCTTTATTTTGTCTAATTATCCCACGTTTCCTCTGCTTCCAAAAAGGCATGAAAAAAAAGCAGAAATTAGTTCAAAGATACTACAGTAGTTTGATGGCTTCCACAACACGAAAATGGAAGTCAAAGATGTAAAAGAATAAAATGGATTTATTTGTTCAAATTAAGGAGTCACTGCTCTTTGAAGAGATCAATGATGTGCAAAATGTGGAGGGGAAATGACCAGCTGTGGAATGGTGCCTCACAGAAAAGAAATATAATTGTAAAGATACAGACTTTCTCCAGTTCTCCCATAAATAAGTAGAATACAGTAATTTGTAGTGCAGTAGAGTCTAATTTGTCATTCTTCCTATTGCACTTTTGACAGTAAAAGACAGGCAACTGAAAGTGGTCAGCTGCAACTTCCAGACATGTAAACATACAAAATACAGAGACGTTCATAGATGAAACTGTCAACATTATGGGAATGAGTGGGTGAAATGTGTTGAAAGAAGCCTAGAGGAGGGATGGTACACTTCGCCTAGCCCTGCTTCACATTGTGATTTGGAAGAGCTAGCTCAATAAAGTCAGTTAAAGTGTTTCACTGATCACAGTGAGCTTTTAAGGAAGCTTTCAGAGTTTCTATTGCTGTGAACCTCCCAATGGCAAGACTACCTTAGTGTCTGTGTCCTCAAATAAAGTTTGCATGTTCAAACAAAGTAAAAAATAGTCTTGCAGTCTGTGGGCCACCATACCTTTCAGAATTACCTTTAAAATAAGCAGTCAGAAGTGTGATTCAGTTCTGATTACTTTTGCATTCTGTATTGCTATTTCTTGATCATTCGTGTTTATTTTTTAGTGGATGCGTAAATGTTCTAGTGTATGAAATCATAGTTTTGGTAAGAATATACAGAAATTTGTGTGTTGCATTTGCAGCTGAACAGCAGTGATGTCACTGTTCATGCTTTCATTTTAAAAGATAACAGATTAATCCAGGTTTTTTGGGGGTCTTTTGGGTTTGTTTTTTTTGGTATGATACTGATCATAGAATCACAGAACAGTTTGGATTAGAAGAGACCTTTAAAGGTCATCTAGTCCAACCTTCCTGCAGTAAGCAGGGACATCTACCACTAGATCAGGTTGCTCAGAGCCCCATCCAACCTGACCTTGAATGCCCCAGGGATGGGGCATCTACCACCTGGTGTACCTAACTGAACTGAAGTAGTTATAAAGGAGGGAGATAAGAAGTGCTTTATAGTGAGGGAGAGAATAGTGAATGGAGCTGCGTACATCCACAGATTCTGTGTGTGTTATGCAAGAACCTTGAGAACTTTGGTGCACTTCATTTGTTCAAAATACCTTTGACTTTCTGCCACTAGCAAGTCCACTGAAGACAAGTATAGTAAGTGTATGACAAAAAAATCTTGGATCTTCATAGGCAGAAATGAATTTATGCATTGGATGGATGGATGGATGGAGCTGTAGTCGACCTGATTAGCATTGCAGGAACAAGTGGTTTAGATTTAATGATGAGTAGCTGCTGGGTGAAGCAGCCTGTCTCCTCCTCTATTTCATCTAGTCCAGATGCTGTTGCAAGTCACTTTTTTTTTCTTTCATATTCTTTAGGCAAGTTGGAATTGAAATCAAAGATTTTGGACAAAGCTGGAGGAGTGGTGTTGCATTTCATTCTGTTATTCATGCTATCCGCCCAGATTTAGTGGACATGGAGAAAGTGAAGGGAAGATCAAATAGAGAAAACCTGGAAGAAGCCTTCACACTTGCAGAAGCAGAACTCGGAATTCCAAGGCTTCTTGATCCTGAAGGTGCCTCACACGTAGTTGAAAACAGTTTTAACTACTTTCATGGGTTAATCAGAAGTGCTAATTCATAATGTTTAGGCATTTAAGCAGCATTTTGTGCCATTCAGCTGAAAACTAATTTACAGTGTTCTATACTTGTCTAGATGTGGATGTTGACAAGCCAGATGAAAAATCTGTCATGACTTATGTAGCCCAGTTTCTGAAGTACTATCCTGATCCTCATCATACAGTGACAGATGTGCAGGAGAATGATGTAAGTTTGTTTCAAATAACTGTACAAATCAGTTTATCATGAGGGGGCTTTGTAAATTTTATAGCTTTCTTATAGTTTATATGTTTCCTTTTGACAAGCAGTTCAAATGAAAGTAAGCACAATAAGAAAAATGGGAAAGATTAGATGAGTATAAAGGAACCAGTGTTGCAGTGGTTCACTAGTAGATGGGGAAAATAGAATGGTGATCCTGCACAGATTTTCTTATTTTCAGCAGTAGGAGTCAAAAAGAACACAAACAGTTACTGTAGATAGTAGCAAACCAATGGATCCTTAAGTTCTCGAAGAGAATTTCGAGCATAACACCAATGATACTGCAATAATTTGATAGCTGAAGCAATGTGTCACTTCTGTTTTCATCACACCAGGTTTCTGAGTAAGAACAAGACCAGTCCAAGAGATTTCTTAGGTATATAGTCTTTGAGCTTTTAGGCTCAGAAGGTAGTTACAATTTTGACACAGGTTGCTTTCTATTGCACAGTGGTGTTTGACTATTCGCTCTAAGGAATTGTTTTTTGCTTTGTGCATGCTCTAGTGCATTGGCTTTGCACTAGAATGGTTTTACTCAGTGATGCCAAGTGATCATGACTCACTTCCTAATCCTGATCATTTGCTTTCTTCATGGCAAGCACAGGAAACACTGCTGAGACAATCTGCTCAGCCCCAGCAAGAGAGGAGGAATCACTTTTTATCTGTGGTTCTTTGCATTCCCTACAGAGCTATAGGAGAACTTCAAAAGGCGTGAACCTCCTTCCTTATGGTTATGCGTGGCTAAGGCAGCTGTAGCTTTGCTGTCTGATTGCAGTGTCTGAGCACTGGAATTTTTCATTTTCCTTGCTGCAGCGTTGATCTGAGGACAGATGTGTGCCGATGCCACAGCATCCCACTGAGCAAGGGGGCTGCTGACGCAGAGGGAGTAAGCACTGAAGCCTCATGCTGTGGCCTCTGGCAGGCTAAGGTAGTCCTGTAGTCTGCATACCATGGCACACAATGCAGTTTCTGCTGCCAGCAGCCTTGGCCAGGTCTGCTGCCTGTGCTGGGGTTGGATTTTGAAGAACAGCCTCACCACCTACTCCTGAGCTATATGCAGAGACGATGCAGGAGGATGGAGGACAGTCACTCCACACTCTGCCTTGCCTCTGGCTGTACACACAGAGACAACAGCATGTGAGCTACAAAAGGGAAACCACTGAGTTACCTCCAGAATTCCCAGTGAATTACTAGGAAGTGAAACAACACAAATTCATCAGTTTGACATGTATAGCTCAAGACCACTTCCTCTTCCTAGATATCGCTAAGACATTCCAGTAGCAATCAATGTGAATTTTGGTAGAACTGCTGGTCCCCTGCATGTCACAGTGTAGAAATCAGTAACTCCCACACTTTGAGAAGAAACTAAAAGTTTGGCATTGCACTAAATTTCTAATGTCATCATTCTTTGTTTCCTTCAGGAAGAATTGTATTCCCTTCTCACACCCCTGAGGGAATGCCAACCAGTTAGAGACAAACTCCACTTCTCCAGTGGAGTCTCCAGTCAAGAATAGCGATAGGGCCCTCAGTTTTTTCTGACATAGATTCTGCTAACCCATCTCTGGAGAAATTCTAATCCCTATCAGGCACCTGTGTCCACTCTATACCTCTCTTCCTGCTCCTGTCCACTATAACGTCCAATTCCCTCACCTCTGGTCATGGTACAAAATGATGACCACATGTCATGTAATAGGTTGATGAGAAAGAGGTCTGGATGGTTCCAGGCCAGTAAGAAATGCACAAAAAGTTCAGGACCCCACGTAAGCACCGGCCCTGAAGCACTCAAATACATAGTGTTAAAAACAGCACCATGCTTTCATCTGTTTGGGACTGGCTAGATATAAGCTCTCAAATGGCTAAACTTTTGGCACACTTGGGTCTTTTATTACTATAAACTTTTATATTTCTGTCCTATGTCACAGAGAAAAGCTTATTTTGAAGTTGGCTGCTTTACTTGTGATTTTTCAGGGAGAATCTGTCAACAGATTCTGGAGGGGAGGAGGAAAGAAGCCAGGAGTTAATGCAGTGGATCCTGTTGACTTCAGGGTACCTAGATGAAACCAGATATCCAGATAATCCTTGGCAAAATAAGAGTGTCATTCATATTACATGATACATAAGAGAAGATTCTAGTGCTGAATATCCAACAATGCAGTGTAAAAATGTACAGACATAAGAATTGCATTTCATATTTATACAATATTTGAAGAGAAAATTGGAAAAAAAAGTCTCAGTCAAATATTTTGTAATGTAATCAACTATCTTGTAGAGTTTTTTTCACTGAGTGCTTTTGTATGTTTCAGCCTAAATTCGTAATTGCCTATGGGTTAGTGAATATTAGGCAAAGGATCATTTAAATCACCAGGTTAAGTAAGGCTATCACAGCAGCAGATCCAAATTGATAGTGTTTCCAGCAGCTCAAAGGAGATTGCCAGCTGGTGAGGACACACTTGGAGCACTGTGTCCAGCTCTGGGCTCCTCAGTACAAGAGACCTGGACGTATTGGAGAGAATCTAACGAAGGATCACAAGGATGATGAAGGGACTGGAGCATCTCTCACGTGGAGAAAGGCTGAGCAAGCTGGGACTGTACAGCTTGGAGAACAGAAGGCTCAGGGGGATCCTATCAATGTGAATAAAAACCTGAAGGGAGAGTGCAAAAAGGATGGTGCCAGGCTCTTGTCAGTGGTGCCCAGTGACAGCACCAGAGGCAATGGGCACAAACTGAAACACAGGAGGTTCTCTCTGAACATCAGGAAGCGCTTTTTCACTGTGAGGGTGACTGAGCCCTGGTACAAGTTGCCCAGAGAGGTGTCTCCATCATTGGAGGTATTCAAAAGCCATCTGGATGTGGTTCTGGTCAACTGGCTCTAGATGTCCCGGCTTTAGTAGGAGAGTTGGACCAAATGACCTCCAGAGATCCCTTTCAACCTCAACCATTCTGTGATTCTGCAATTCTGTGATAATATTTAAGTGTATAGTTAATATATTTAAGATTTTTTTAAATGAAACAGTGACAGGAGAGGTCTTCTTGCAATGCAAGAGGAATGCTCTTTTCTAAATGGCATCATACAAGAATGGAGATTTAAATTGCTTTAAAAAAATAGAAAAGTGGGTTCTCTTTAGAAGAGCAAGAACTATTTTCTTTAGTACTTAAGGTACATTCATGAACTTATCACTTTGCAAACTTAAGGGAAAACTTTTTTATAGAAGTAACTGCTTGGAATCATAGTATGGTAACTGACTTTCTTGACCACACAAGCCATTTAAGTACCTTTTTTTAACCCTTTTCTGCATTAATTCTAATGTTCACCTTGCTAAATTAATTGCCTGGAAAAAATGTAAAGTAGAGAGTACTCTTTTCTCAGTGCACAGAGTGTGCAGTAAATCAGATACAAGATGTTTTTGTGACTGTATAATCCATTTAGACTGAAAATTCGTTTGTGATTTTTCAAGAAGTGTTGTCTACAGGTTCTGTTCTAGGTATATGAACATGTGCAAGATCAGAACAAATGTGTAAGATAGGTTCATTTTAAAATAGACCTTTTGTGTTTTGTGGAAACTGTGTAAGTGAATTGGATGCCCTTGTGATCAGCATAGCTAATGGTGCAAGGTAGAACAGTATCTACTGCTTCTTTCTTACCTCTTACTGACCTGGAGTATCCATGTCCATCATAAAGCTTTCCTTAGGAATTTTGCATTATTTGGTTAGTTTAGTTATTTAGGACAGGATTCATTCATGTTTAAGAATGTAAAAGCTAGGTACTTACACTCCACCTGTAATCAGCGAGAGATAGACACTTTTCTAGATGGCATCTTTCTTAAAATGGTGTCCTAAATAAACTGTCTTCTGGAAGTTCCTGTTGCATAGCATTTCAACAGAATTAAAACTGACCCAGATGAAGTATTCCCTTAGGTTATATTCCCATACATTAAATGTTGTTGGCAGTTGATTAAAAAGAAATCCAGACACAATTTATGTTTTTGTGACCGGTATAATTCCACTATTCTTAGCCTTTCTGTCTTCCTCCTGAAGTCCGGTATAAGGCGATATGTATCACAGGATGGTAGAAGCCAGGTACCTGAGAGAGATAAACTTGAAAGACTCTTATCCCTTAAACTCCTGGGGTACTCTCAATTTCTCGTTTCCAAAATTAAGCACTTTTAGGGTGTGTTCCATCTGACCTTTGTTAAGTGCCTGCTGTAGAATGAGGTGAGTTGGGCAGTAGATGCTAGATGCAACTGATTTTTTCTATTTGTCAAAAAGAACTGAAAGAGTGACTATCTATCCCAGTTGCAGATGCCTACATTTAGTTAGAAGAACCCTATTCCAGAGTGGAGTGTGTCTGGGTGGGTTTTGATGGTGATGGGGCAAGGATTTCTGACCCTCTCCCCCTGCCCTCCAGCCAACTCAGCTGCCACTGTGTTTCCTCAAGATGTGTTGTCCATACAAATTCCTATTCATCTTCCATCCTGATTCAATGCTCAGTTTATAAAGAATTGGCATTGGAAGAAGTGAAGTAATAATTGCAGCTTATCCCTTATTTGTGGTCAGAGGGAAAAGCTATTTGCATGTGCATTTCCAGAATTAAACGAGATCTAATATCTCATGCATGGACCAGCTATGCACATATGTGAATTTGTGTTGTTAACACATCTCAAAAAAGCACAGTTGCTCTAAGGTAAGTAACCTTTTTTCCAGATAAAATAAATCATGTAGTGACTAGTAATCTGGAAATCAAACCTAATATGAAAAATACTTCACTGGATATGATACAGACATTAACTTGGTAATATTTCAAGTACATCTTGTATTCTTACGCGTGTGACTTTTATTGTTCCCTTTGGACTTTCTTCTGCTTTGCTTTATTTTGTTTGCTTTTTTTTTTGTTTCCCTTCTTCTTGTTTTCCCATTTGTTTACATTGCTAGGAACTTCAAGCAATCCCAACTTTTGTCATTTCTTTTATGAAATTTAAGGTAAGGGTAATATGCTCCAGAATAATTGCTTGAACTGGACCTTTCATGCTTGTTATCTGTTTCTATCCTGCACTTCTGTGACTTTAGATTTTGGGTGGTTTTATGTACGTTGGTTTGCTAGCCTTACGTTAATTTTCAAAAAAAGCAAATTAGTATAACGAGTCTAAGTCTACTTTCTTACATGAGCTGATCCTAACAGCTTTATGCTTAATTTTGCAAACAATTTCACAGAAATATTGTAGAAAAGCAAGTCAACTTTCGTATAATAAATGTCAGACTATGTTTTTGTTTTTCTTATAGGTGTAAACGTGACAAAATATAGATTCTAGACTGATATTTCTACTTATCTAATGTCATTTTAGATGGAGTTTTTGTATGTCTAGGTTTATAGAGTAGATACTAGATTTTATGTATGATTGTGTCACTGATGTATGTGGACTGTGGGTTTGAAGGAGAGAGCATTCATGTGTTGCATGATATGCACTACTCCTTTTTTCACATAAATTATGATGGTTTTAAAAATATACTTTTTAATCATCTTGGACATTTAGATACAATTTTTTTAGTGTTAACTGAGAGAAGTTCAGAAATCTGTCATGAAGTATTTGAAATGAACATTCAGAGGTGAAACTGGAAGACTGCAGAAGTGGAGATATTATGAAACAAATAACAGGTGTCACTGCAGTCTGTCAAAAATTGTTTAAAGTTTAATGGCACAGCAGCTTTAATGGGACCTTGTTGTACATTCTTAGCCTTACACAGCCCCAGTGCATTACTGCTTAAGCTAGTGAAGATTTGAAGTGCTAAAAGCTCTGTCAATTTCTTTATCTTGGTATAAATTTAACTACAGAGGAAGCACACTCCTCCGAAATATTTCTGATGTAAAGTCTTTCTCTTCTTGTGCTCTGATGAGCAAGTAATTCAGAAGATAGTTCTGTCACTCCACCATCTTTATGCCAGCAGAATTCCCCAATGTAAAAGGGATTTCCTGAGCAGGAGCTGCAAAAATAACTTTCTGAGCTCTTCCAGTGGTTTACTGTCTACTTTTACAGACAGGCATTAGTAGCTCATTCCTGAAGACGATACTTGGCTCAGCATTCACCATGCATCTGCAACACTTGTCAGTAAACGTGTTTCGGTAACACCTATACACATATACATCCAATAACACATATATATAAGCCAGAGTTTTCAAAAAGAATAGCTAGTTTATTGAATTAATGTATAAACCTTTTTAAAAGGACTTGATTTTCTCAGCACATAGGTAATACAATAGTTCAACATCCCTGAAAAACAGTAGACTTATTTTTTTTAGATTTAAAAGTTCATTTTTGAGAACTCTATCCTGCCTGTGCCTGAGAATTTGAACAGTTCGCCTGGTTTATAATTATATATTAGAGAATCCAGCAAAGTACTCCTTTTTCAGTCTATAATTAAATTTCTCATTAAACACAGATGTGTATTTTTAGCTCCTTAACACCAGAGTATTCTGTATTAGATAATTTTCAAATTATCTCTGGCAAGCCAGTTAATAAAATAATGTTTTGACTTTGAGTCTGAGCTGAAAACTTTCTTTGTGAATTTAAATTGTACCCCTTTGTCATATTGGAGCTCATAAACACTTTAATTACCTTCTTTGATGTTCTTTGGTAGTTGAGTGCTCCTGCAAATAAGTGAAAATTCGTAGAATGGTGTCAGGATAAATTAATGCTTTAAAATGCTCTTTGGAAGTAGCACGTGCTATAGGCCATAGTGGCTTAGATAAACTGAAATAAATGTGATTAGAGATCAATGATCTTCATAGGGAGGGAACCACATAGAGTTGTAATTATCCTAGTTAACTTTTCTTTGAAGGTTTATGTTCTGATCTGTATGCTACTTCAGATGTGCAGGCTTTAGAAAATAGTTTACATATCTGTAAGCCTATCCTTTTGATATTTTTTTTTTACTAAGAGTAAGAGCAACTAGGCACTAATTAAAGTCTTGTTTTAAGAATGATAGCTTATCAAACCTGAGGGGTGTTGGTGACAGGTGCCTTGGTGTCTAAGAAAGTGAATCTTTGATGTCGGTTACCCAGAGACTTTAAAATGCTTTTGTAGCAATCGAGGATCAGAGAACCAAGTTTGCAGATGAGAAGTGATGCGCTGAACTGGAAACCTGTGAAAATGTATGAATAAATAAATAAAATGCTTATCATGCATTGTTACACAGGGTCTTTAACAGCATTCAGTCAGGTGGTCACTGAAACACCTACATCTTCTGCAGTTAAACAAAATGCACAAAAAAGTTGTCTAACTAAATAGTAAAAAAAAAAATCACAGAAGACTTAATGCCACTTGTTAACTTTATCTTTTCACTCAATGTCAGAGAACTGGTATGTGATTTAAGAGTTGTGCGGCTGTTCCTGTGTTCTTTGTCTTCAGGTACCATAGAGGTGTTCTTGATCCCAGTGATATTCTATTTCAAAAAGATTTGGTCAGACCCAATTTTAGCCTTTGTTAACTTTTTAGGCTATGTTGACAGGAATCTTGCAAAATACCTGTTTTGCTCACATTACTGTATGAACAGTTGCAGCCATGCAGATGCTCTTGCAAAGACTTACCTAAAGGAGCTGCTTCTCAGCGATCAGAATGTGAGCCATAGAGGAATAAAAGCCAGTGTTTTACAGAACTGAATTTATAGTGTGAACTAAAAGTAACATACACACATTTATTCTCTTCCCAACTTCAAAAATATCTTACTTGAATTTTCAATTAATGGGGTTGTTACAGAACTTTCAATCCATTAAGATGGATAGTTAGTATTTTCTTTATGGAGGTACAGTTAAATACTAGTAGAGATCTCAATATTCTCACTAAAGTTGTAGCTTCTAATGAATGGAGTGCATTTAATACCAAAGTTCTTTTTCTGATGGCTGAATGAGGTAAGAATTCTCTCTTCTTATATTCTTCTCATGGGGGAGTAGTCCTGGCTTTGCTGTTTATCTCAGAGAATCTTGATGTTATTTTTCCACACACAGAACCAACTGTCAGACCAGAAGAGTAGGAATTTTATTCTCCTTCTGTATATTTAAGTGATTTAGAAATTGGAAGCATTAGGAGTTTTGGCTTCTTGGGTCACTGTGTGCAGTCAAGGAAATCCCAACATTACAAATAGCTGGAGCAGGGAAGTGTCATAAGAGTCCTATGCTGTTTCTTGGGTACCAGCTTTTGGCGAGTGTCAGAAGACAGGAGCATGTGCTATAGTGAACTTTGTTCCAGCACAGCTGCTCTAATATCATGTTAACCTCGCTGCATATACCCAGCTAAGAACTTATTTAGAGAGTTACCAGATACAATACCTGTGATATTTGCACAATTTCTTGTGCCAATTCGATCCAACTAACTACTGTAAAACAAACACGCTGTTCTTCAAAGCCATAAAATGGCATGGAAGGAAAAGAAACTGAATACAGTCGGGTTTTCTTTCTTTTAATTTACCTTGTTAAAACATGCTCTATGAAAATATTCTGCCAACTTCTGAACTTGGAGCTTGATGTCAAGGATTGCCCTGAAGTTACTCAGAAAATATTTTTTTTTCAGCATTAGCAAACCAGATATTAAAATGGTGGTAAAAGATGATAAAATCCTCTCCTGCCTCTGCTCATTTAACTTTAACTGAAATTAAGTCTGCAAATATGTGGAAGAATAAAATTAGCTGTTAAGGTATATTTAAAGAATTTTGTGTTAACATCAAATAAGAACTGCAAGTAATATCTGTGGCACTGTAATGTCCTAAATTGTCATGATTTCACCACTGTAAGACTCATGCTTAGATGCTGAGGTCTCCACTTAGGAAGTGCTTTTCAGTTAGACTGTATGAAGATAAGTGATGAGAGAATTGGGCCCAGATGTTCCATTGGCTTTCACTACAACTAATGACCTTGACTTGCTAGAGAGGTGTTAATTTCTGGACTGTATCTGACACCTCTACTAATAGACTGCAATGTTTTTCTGTGTCTGGCTGTACTAAATCATAGAAGGAAGACAGACTGATGCTGAGAGACCTAAAAGTGTGGGCGGAACAATTCGAAAGAGACTTAGGCCGTGCACAGGTGGCAGAAACAAGCTTACAGGACAAATACCAGGTAAGCAGTAGGGAAAATTTTGTGTGATAAGACATTATTGTCTTCATTATGTGTAACATGTACTGCAGTATTTTATGCAATCTGTATATAAGCAAGTCAGTATACTGTGGTTTAAATAAGGACACAAACTGTCTTTATTGGTAGAGGAATTATAATGTCAGCTCCAGCTACCTAGAACAGTGCACAGATGGTTTGCCTAACACAGAGCTTTTTCTAGCAGTGTGAAGAAGGACTGTCCTAGTTAAAAGTGAGCATGTGTCTGCACAGTCCTTCCAGATCCTGCGTGATATAGCTCAGATGCGAGGTAACACTGAAGGCTGGATGAGGTGACAGGTGGAGAGGACAGTGCTTATAGCTTCATTTTTATCCCCTCTCTCAAAGGTTAATGACTAAATCAGCAGTATAAATTTTGACCTAAATTTTCTCCTGAAGCTTGGCTGTTCTTTAAAAGCAGCCACTGTCTGTCCCAAGTAGTATTTAATCCATTTGCTAGTTTATCTGATCAATTATTGTTTCCTTTCCTGTAGGGTTCAGGAATCTGATAATTGAAGGGAAATACAAAAGTCATACCTATGTTTTCCTGGAAGATTCTGCAGTCTATTAAAATTTTTAATCAAATGCATTTCAGTGTAAATATTCAAGTTTACTGCTACTCCTCTTTGGGAAGGATTAGGACTTCTATCAGTACAAAATTGTCATAGCGTGTAGCACTATAAATGTTGAAGAATTCTTTGACTCTGTACTACATTGTTTTTATTTTCTCTTTGTGCAGTCATTTAAGCATTTCAGAGCACAATATGAGGTACAAAGGAGACAGATTGAACTTGTAACCCAGTCATTAAGGAAAGATGGTAAATTATCACTTGATCAAGCTCTGGTGAAGCAAGCATGGGACAGAGTTTCTGCCAGGGTAAGTTGAAAATTATTATGCTATCTATTTTTATTAAATGAGAATTTAAAATCATTTAGACACCTATTTACTATTGATCTCATTAGGCATTAGGAACATAAAAATGGACCAAACTTCTGTCACTGTTTTTCACTGCGATTATTTTGCATTTGTTTTGAGAACATATACTACACTGTCATCTTTAGTAATGCTCAAAGATAGAATATGAACTTTTAGAAAAGGACTATAGTTTGAGGTTTCACTTTATTTGAAAGTGTGTCAACAGTGCTTATCCAAGTTCAAATCATTGTTGATAGAAAGAAAAGCATGCATAATACCCCTTTGAAATGCAATGCTTTAATGTAAATTGCTAGTTATCTGAGAAAATCTAATATTACATTTTTTAATATAACTAAAAAAATTTCTGTGTAATACTGAATACTTTATCAATAGGCTAGGCTTTGATGCTATTTTTGACCTGGTTGCAATAGTAATAAATGAATCTTAGCGTTTGTGATAATAATTTTGTAATAATTGAAAGAAGAATCCCAAGCGAGTTATATTGTTCGTTACAAATAAGAAATTGTTAAATCATTATTACTCAGTGCATTTTCATGGATTTTTTTCATGTCATATGTTTAACCAGAGTGTCTATTTTAAAATATTTTGGACTTTTGGCTTTATTTTTATTATTTTTTCACTCCCAAAACTGGGACTGACAGTAAAACATGGTATTGTACTGCTATATTCTCGACTCCACAGTCCTTTGAAACTCATCTGCACTTTACACATAGAAAATATGTTCAAAATAGATATAAAAAGATTTTATGTGAGAGCAAGAATTAAATGACATTGAATGGAAGAAGGTCTCACATCCCTTGCTGTGCCTATTAACTGATGGAATTCCAGATCTCAGCTTGTCAGTTGTTCCAGTTTATATGTGGTCAATTCTATAATTCAGTTACCTCAGTTGGAAGGGGAATATATGAATCAATGAATCCTTACAGAGATTTTATTGCCTGTGGGAACGCTATAATTTCAGAACCAATGTGAAGTAATATACTTAGGTTTATGTCTCAAACATTCTGTTATGTGGGGCTTTAGCCTTACAGTATAGAGTCTGATTTTTCTCAAGATACTTGTTTGTGTAATTAAGCAAGGAAGTAAGTTCAATCCTCTTGCTTTTATTTCCTAGCTACTTGATTGGCACATACACCTTGATAAATCTCTTCCTGCACCTTTGGGTACCATAGGTGCTTGGCTCTATAGAGCAGAGGCTGCTCTGAGGGAAGAAGTAACTGTTCAGCAAGCTCACGAGGAAACAGCGAATACAATACACCGGAAGCTTGAACAACATAAGGTAGATCTACATGCATTCAATCTGTGCTTTATACTTCATTGTTTCCAAAGCTGTAAATGATCCATACTATACAAAGATAGATTATTATTTCTAGTTTCTGTGGATGGTGTCATCTTAATGATGAATAAATCTAGATGTCTTGTAGTGATGACTTGAACTGTGGTATCTGTGTATTTTACAAGCAATATTTAGAATTGCTCTTGAATGTTCCTGCTTCTTCTGTGTGGAAGATATTAGGTATTACTGTTTTAATTGTTCCCCTATTTTAGGATTTCTGTTGCGTAAAATTCCACAAGGAACTCATGAACCTTGTTCAACCAATATGAACTTATTAGGTGAAACAGGAAAGAGAGCACAAACATGCTAAGTGTGCTGATAGTGCAGGTGATATGCACTGGGGGAAAAATCTATGAGGAAGATGCTGTTTTCTTTCAAGGGTTAATCTCTTGTAATGCTAAATTTCATTAGCTTTCTTGTTAATGTCATATGTTTCAGGATCCGTAAGATTTGACATTAGTTTAAAAACAGCAAGTCAAACGCTTTTTTTTTTTTCCCCTCTTATAATGTGAACTCTATAGACCTCCTTTTGATACATTCATAAGAAGCACAAAAGAGTGTGTCCTAAACTGTGTATGCTTTGCGTGAGAATTGCTGTGGAGAGGGATTTCTATGCCAACAAATAAACATTCTATTTAGGTTAGTCTGTGCCAGGGGAGTTTTCCCATGGGAGTGGGATGGGGAAAGGTTCAAGAGAAGCATGTGCAATTGTATCTGTTCCTGGAGTTTGTTTTTTCACTCAGTTTTGCAGTGATGAATCCTAAAACGTTGTTGGATAGTACCAGAAATGCATTAGTGTATTTTTTTCAGTCCTTGTTTCCTAGGAAGTTGTTGGGGTTTGTTTGTTATGTTTATTGTGATGTTTTGTTCAGATAACATCATCACTTTCTCTGTATCTTTGTCTCACCTGACAATGGGTTATTTTAGTGAACTTTATTGCTTATGGCCATTTTGAAGCTACAAAATGTGGCAGTTTATTTGGACAAAGCTTTGTGGAACCAAAGAGGCACTTAAGTTTATTTTAGTTAATATTGTCCCCAAGATGCTGAAATTAAGGACAATGTCTGTGCTTGTTGAGGGTCATTTTGCAGACCAGCATTTCACTTCATGAGAACACTACACAGAAGTTTTCATAGGCTTCCAGTTGGTGTTGGATGAAACTACTGGGTCTTATTTTGACTTACCGAGGCATGTTAGGGGCATCCCTTTTTGTCTGGCAAGGTCTCAAATGCAGCTAGCTGAGAGACTTATTCCAAGTCTTTCCTTTATGTGAGAGGATGTCACAAGATACTCTCACTGGAGTTTTCACCGTGGTAAAATCAGTGCATCACTTGCATCTGAGAAAGCCTTGTACATTTCTCTTCACAAAAAGGTGTTGACTGAAGTGGAAAACAATGAAAGAATGGGTGGGTTGATGGGGATGGTGGGACCATTTGGTGAGCTGAGCCAGTGAATTACCATTAATTTCTGCTGTGCAAACACTGGGATTTGACTGGGGAGAAAACCTTTTTCAGCACATAGGAACAAATAGACATCTGTAATCAATACATAAGCCTGCATTTTATTCCCTCAGGTGAGAGAGGGCGACCTTTGTATGATTTCCTTTGCTAATAGGCTTCTGAGCACTTTGTGCCAGGAGCTGTCTGTATGCAGTAAAATCCCTGCTGTTCTGTGTCCTCTCAGCCGCCGGGGACTTGACGTGTTATAGTTACGGTGTCTCTTCAAGGACTACTGCCAGTCATTCATTTTAATATGTAGTCTCCAGGAGGCCGTTTGAAGCGGTGTTGCTTAGTTACAGTTGAAATGTGCTGTGCTGTAAGGTTTTTGCTGGTACAATTCTTAACGCAGGAATACAGGTCGGGTACCACATTCTGCATTTATTTGTGTAATATAGAGGGAGCGATCCTGAAATCTTTTGATGCTGAGAGAGTGAAAAGTTCACTAAATATTGAATATGCACTTACATAAGGAGCTATGGATCTTCTGCCTATATATAGTGGAGTAGATTAGTTGCTGAAAATTTGAATCTGTACTTAAAAAAGGTTAGTATCTGTTATAAAGATGTAAAGAGTAATTTAACAAGATTATGCTGTTTTGATGTTAAAGTATTCGCAGACTGCATTTCAGGGATTATTTGGTGCTGTTGTTTTGTTAAACCTTTGCAGTGTATCCTCTGTTATAAAATCTTCCATAATTGTTAGACACAGCGTTAGCAGAGCATCTTATAAGGAGGTTCCTATGTAAATGTTTCATTTGATGTAAATGCTTCTGTGGTATGCATAACCTTGCATGCAAATGTGAGAGCATGATCAAATAGTTAACTACATTGAGTCATCAGTGCAGGCTTAAAATTGTGCTTATTAGTTAGGTAGCCTACTGTGAGCCTTCTCTGTCTCTCTGTCTCCCTCTCTTCCCCCCGCTTCCTCCCCCTCCCCACTCTCTCAATCTCTCTCTCTTTCTTGAAATCAAATCAGGATCTGCTGAAAAACATAGATGGTCACAAAAAGGCATTCCATGAGATCCACGGGGCCAGGTCTGTTAATGGAGTACCTGTTCCACCTGACCAATTAGAGGATATGGCAGAGAGGTAAGACTTTCAATCTGAAATAAAAACCCTCCATGAATGAAAGGGAACCTGTTTACTTTTTCATCTATTCATGTAGAAATCACTGTCTAATTATGTTTCTCAGCAGCAAGCATGAAAAAATTGGAAGAAAAACCCCTCTAGAATATAAATTAAAATGTACTGAAAAGCATGATGCTTTAAGGATTGATGAGAATCAAAATAATCTATGGGGTTTGGAAGTGAATACTTTTTTACATTGATCCTGTTATTACTTGTCCCTGGGAGAAATGTTATGTAACAACAGCCAGGATTCATCTGAGAAAAGAAAAATGACTTTGCAAAACTTAGTGGCAGATGTAAACTGATGATTTCTATGAATAAACAGAAATGTTATTAATTTACTATGCAAGAGCAGCTATCAGAATGATCATCATGTATAATTAAATGTTTGTAGGCTATGAATTAGGTGAAAGGTTAGAAAAATGTCTGAACTGTAACTAATGCTATCCATCTCTCCTGCAAAAATTAATATCGCTGTATTTTACTATAGTGTGATTCATTTTATAGGTTTAATTTTGTTGTCTCTTCATCTGAGCTCCATCTGTTGAAGATGGAGTTTCTGGAACTGAAGTACCGTCTACTGTCACTCTTAGTCCTTGCAGAATCAAAGTTAAAATCGTGGATTATCAAATATGGAAGGCGAGAGTCGGTGGAACTACTTCTTCAAAATTATATTGTAAGTTGGGGTTTTCTTCTTCTTTTTAGAATTATTTTTTAAATGTTCATATTTAAGATTGCTGGAAGTGGATAAAAGAACAGAAACAGAAATGAGACTTGCCAGTCATCAACTTTGTGACTGCATTATTATGGAATATCTTTTCAGAGGTGCATCTGTCCTCCCCATGGAGGAACTTTAGTCAAAAGGCTAAAAGTGAAAATTATTCTTTTTGCACCATCTCTTCAAACACAGAATTAATGTCCCAGCTGCTAACTGCTCGACCGTCAACTTACCAAGCATATCTGGAGGTTCTAAATCCTAGATTTTTATTTACCTTAGGTAGAAATTCCAAAGAAATTAATTTCATCTTCTTTTACAACTTCATAGAAACATTTTATAGTGACTATACACAGATTAAGTGCAGAGATAGAGGAGGTTTTTGGCATGCAGTCCCTCACAGTACTTTTTTTTTAGTCTTCCAAATAAAGGAAAAAAAAAAAGTTATGCTGCCTCTGTGATCTTGTTCAATATACTGTATGGATAGGGGAGTCCTTTTATTCTTTTAAGCAATGATTTTTCTTCTCCTACTCAGCATTAGTATATTAAAGCCATTACTTTATTTTTATTCTGGAAAGAGATTGCTCCAGCTCTGCATCATCCATATATCATGTTAAGAAACAGAAGCTATTGAGGTACAGATGCTCATTAATACGTTCCTTTTCAGTCTTATGGTGCTGTATCTTGTTAAATCCACACTTGCAGTGCCAAGTGGCTGGTAGAACCATACTACTGCTGCACTTCTACATTAGGGCATGAGGGATTCTTTCAAAAGTAGGGCTGGGCTAAATACTTTTTTCCCCTTGTATCTAATCCATACAAGGAAAATTGCACAGGAAGATTCAGTTTGGAAAGAATTCATACAGTTATAGAGCCATTCAGAGCCAGGACACTGTGTAATGGAAGTTATTGATCTCCTCACAGCCTGACAGTTTTTATTGTTTTGGAAGAAAACTTCAAACTCAATAAAGTTCCCCTACAAAGTGAAAATTCAAGATCTGTTCACATTTTTTCCCTTTCTGTGTTTAAACTTCAGCAGTTAGGGACACATAAAAATTCAGGGGTTGAGCCTGGTTTTAGACAAGCGTTGCAAAATTCAGATGGTTATTTAAAATAACATAGTTTGCTAGAGTGATATGCGATAGCTGGGAGTTACAGTGCATTTGTATACTCTGTAAGACTGTCACAAAATCTCCTAAAAGGTGGCAAGGGAAATAATGAGGAAGTGAATAGCTTGACTTTTGGATTATTATTTTATGTCACTTTCTCATTTTATGCCTTAAAATGAACCTAAAGTGGTGAATTTGTATGTTATTTTGCGATTTCCTCCAATATTCTTGTGCTTCAGACCACTAATGCTGAGATGGTCATTACGGTAAAGAAAATGCTTCCTTGAATCATTTATGAAACTGCATCACATCGAAATGAGCGAATTGAGACAAGAAGATAGAGTTCAGTTTCATTCCTTGTGGCCATGACTTCTGGCTCCTTCCAGGTGGCCGGTGATGGAGAGAGACTTTATTTGCTCTGGCTTACCTGGGAGTGATTTTCGAGGACCAAGAGCCAAGTGTTATTCCTCCAGTAAATTAGGAATCTTACGTAGGAAAGCTATAGTCAGTACCTTGTAGTCAGTGACGGTATTAGTAGGAGATAAAAATGCAAGCTTGTTTGTCTGCCAAAGCAGACTGAGCAATGTCAGCATTCTAGGAACATGCGTAGTTAAGATCTGGATGGAACATATGCCTGGAAAATATTTAGATACTGTAGCTTAAAAATAAAAGTGGTGGTTGTTACTTTATCCTATCTTTTTTCATCTGTCTGTCATATACAAGAAGTAAAGGTCAGCATAAATTGTACACCATCAACCTGAAGAATAGTAACAAAGTCCCAGCTGTAATGGAGATGCTGGGTACAGTTATCCATGGATTTTAACCCATGGAACTGTGTTTTGGCATTGCTGTATTAGCACTTTTTTAGCACCATACACTGTACAGGTTTGGGAAAAGCTATGTATTTTCTTTAAGGGATCTTGTCAAATGGGAGACATTATTAATCAGTAAGATGTCTGTATTTAATTTTTAAAAATATTTCCAGTTGCTTTTGGGATCAATATTACAGAAGTCATTTGATACAATATTTGACTTTCTCATGTGAACTCTTGCAGTTTTTGGTTCAGTGTAAACTCTCTGTGTATTTATGTCTGGGTTTGGCAAAAGTGTGAGTCGGGAGTTTGTCACATAGTTCGTTGTAAAGCATGTAGTTCTTTATACATGCCAGATTTTTTTTTAACAGTAGAGCAGAGAAAAATTCTGATAGTCCTTGACTTCTATTTTCCTTGGTTATAAACACATTTCTGAACTACATACTAGATAACTGTGGTGATTTGACATAGCAGCTGTGAAAGGTTTAAAATAGAAGATTTTTAGATATATACTGGCTGGCATATTAATTTATAAAATTGTTTTTCATGTTATATAATACAGTCCAAACTGTTTCCAGGTAAATTATTTGTCACACTGTAACACATTACACAGCTAAAACATCACTCACAAAGGAAAAGCATTGTGTCACACTTTGGAGAAGCAGCATCTCTTTGTGCAGTGTTTGCTTAATCTTATTTTTACCGATTACAAAGGAGGTAAAGGAAAACAAAGGATAAGTCAACTGTTCTACATCTTTTAAAGTGAAACCTGCCTTTCTGCAAATGCTTAATACAGGAACAATTTTTAAATTTTAACTGGATTTTATTTTTGTGGTGACCTATATGGATGAAATTTTCTCTTTTATTAAAATAACTCCACTTAGATTTCAGTGTAAAACAATTTCCATTAAATAACTTTTAACTACTCAGTTTCTGCACATTCAAAGCATCATATGCTAGTGAGTTTCAGCAACTCAGCAACTAACAGACTAACTAAGAACATATAAAGTAATCTTTCCATATGCAAAGTGAAGAAACTGTATTTGTAAAGGGAGTCTCTGCTATACCATTAATTTGAAAAGGTGAAATTTATATATTATTTTATAATGATGATAATTTAAAGACCATTTTTAATGAAAAATAAAAAATGAATGGAGGAATAATGTTAACAGTTGTCATCACTGTCCTGATGTAATTTCAGAGAAATTATCCTTATTCTTAATAGCTATCTTTATTTTGCCTGTTGTAATTTTTTTTTTTTCAGTCTGTTATTGAAAATAGTAAGTTCTTTGAGCAGTATGAAGTTACTTACCAGATCTTGAAAAGAGCAGCTGAAATGTATGCCAAAGCAAATGGCTCAGGTAAATTTCTATGTTTCTTTCGTCATGGGGACACCATTTTAATCTCTTTAGACAAAAGTATCCTCTAAAAAGATCTCCTAAGATTTGTTTCTTCCATGTAGCAGAGCTGTACAGCAACTGCAGTTTACCAGAGAGGCTACAGCCTCTGGTAGCAGTTTCACATACTCTCTAGCATGAAGCCATCTGGTACAGAGCCGCTTGCCCTCCTGCTGTAAAGATTTCTTAATCTCCAGAAGAGGGTGGTCATGTTTAGACTTCCTAATCGGAGAAGTCCATGGTCCATGCTAACTTCTGGTTTGTTTCCGTGTTTTTGATTTGGGCCAAATGTGTGCCAGAGACCATATTAGGAGTAGGGAAGGTCACATTCTGGTGCCTGGAAATGCTCCCAGGCTTGGCTTCATTTACTAGAAAAAGATAAATAGAGAGCTGGTCCCAGCATTGTTGTAGCAGCAAAAGTATCCCCTGATTAATTGAAGATTCTGCATTAACTGTGAAAATCTGCAAGAGGAACCCAAAAGACAGTTGAAGTATGGATATACATGAGAAAGTTTTGTAGCTGATTCAACAGCTGCCTCCTGTAATTCCTGAACACTGCTGAGTTCAGTGAGAATGCATGACAGCAAGATTTGACCTAGATAGTTACAGACATGAGATCACTTTAATCTCTGCTGAGGACATAGCACAGTAATGCTATGGAGGATTGCTGCAGCTGCTGAAGTGGTGAGCAGATGTGGAGAGAAAATGGATATCTTTCTTTGTTGTGAAATTTAAGTTGATGATGGCGACACTCAAATTTTACAAAAGTAAACATTTTTTACAAGGTATTCTTACAAAGAATACCATTAATAGATATATTCAATGCTGTTAAAAAAATCCAATAACAAATTCTTTTCTAAAGGCCAGGTACTCACTTATATGAATTGAGAAACAGCAGTGCACATTACAGAAAACCTTAGCTAAAAAATGTTCTTTGTATTATCTGTATTCTGCACGTTTCATGAAATCTCAGGATTTACTTGGGTCCTTTTTCCTTTCTCTGTTTTTTTTTTTTTCTTCTGGAATGAGGACACCCTTGTTCTTTTACTGCCTTGAGGAAAATACTAAAAATTAAATGGCAAAAATTAGCAGAAGTTTGGTTTTAAATTTGGTGGAAGGAATATCAGAATTTCATTCAGTACTTTACAATGTGGACATAAAAAGTGTTTGTACATGACACCTCTCTATTAATTTCTTCATTTTTAAGGAAATTTTCTCTCTTGATTTCTTTTATTACAGACCACAAATGAACACTGCACCAAATATGCAGTGTGGCTGTTTTAATATAGCAGTCATTTTATGTACTTTCCTAAGTCTTTGATTCACAGGTTTAATTTTTCAGTAGTAATTTTACATTAAAATTGGACTGTAAACTGAGCGTATGTATATTAAAGCCTACTGAAATAGAAGTTGCAGTAAAATATAATTCCTTATGAGAATGGATAAGCATAACATAAAATTAAGCTTAACAGAAGTAATAATGAACCAAAATAATCAATGTCTTTCCTGTACCTCAGTGGAAGAAGTTGAGAATGTGATGAAATTCATGAATGAAACAACAGCACAGTGGAGGAACCTCTCGGTAGAGGTGAGAAGTGTAAGAAGCATGTTGGAAGAAGTAATTGCTAATTGGGACAGATATAGCAGCACTGTGGCAGGTCTACAAGCTTGGCTGGAAGATGCTGAAAAAATGCTGAATCAGCCTGAACATTCTAAAAAGGTATGCACTAATAGCATGTGTCTCGCTATTTTGTAAATTATGAAACACAAGTTATGTTTTTGCTTTTGCTTGGGTTGCTTTACAAAATGTCATACAAGAGGGAGAGATTTCTTTCAGTTTCTGGCATACTGTCTACATTCATCAGAAGTGTTTCAATGTTTGCACGTATAATGTGTGCAGACATATGCACATACACACGCAATGAAGTAAGGCATCGTCTGTGATAGCAAGGTTAGAGGCATCTTTGACGTAAATATAGGGCAGCAGTATTGCTCAGAAATAGGGATGTTACATGATTCACTCAAAGGCAAATACAGCTTAACACCACAGTGCGTAGTCATGTGGTGAGTATAAAGACATTTAAAGAAAATTATTTTTTCCACTGATTTTTCTACCATAGAGATGACAGATTTCAGTATTATTTGACTTCACAAGACAACTTTATTAATATGTGTTTTTGTGTTTGATGGGTAAGTAATTAGTAAGTAATTAATCCATTTCCCTCACCTTTCAGAAATATTTTAGACAGTTGCTTTTGGGCACCTGAAGTCATAAGGATAGTTTTGCTGTCTTTTATTTTCTGTTCGGATATTATAGTACTGAAGCACCAAAATTTATGTTTGTGAAACTTCAATAATGAACCAGATTGTCTGGAATAATACTGCATTTAACAGGTACTATATTTTCAACCAATCCCAATGTAGCAGCGACAAAGTGCTTAACACTGAGGTATGTTTTTCATAGGTTGTAAGATGTCAAACTGACCTCAGGTCAGGAATGAGCATTTCATGCTACATGAAAGAATAATATAATTTTTGGTAAAAGTTTGTTAATTTAAATTTATGTGGAAGAATGGAATACACTTTTTAAATAAAAATAAACCTGTGAAAAGGATTCGATAGTCTGGCATAGTATAAATAGCAACAATTACTACTGAGCAGGAAGGGTGACCTCAGTTTATCAGGTTGATCTTATTTCCTTGTGTATGCTTTATACAAGTAACTTGCCAGTGTTTAAAATAAAATATTCTTATATCCATATATATGAATAAAATCAGTATAAAAACTTCTCAGATTAGTTTCATAACTTTGCTTGAAGATTTTCAAAGCAGAAATCTGAACATATCTGTACAGTATATACTTGCTTTTGATTTCTAACCTAGATCCAAGAAGTACCTCTTACCGTTCTGATACATGAAGAGTTTCAAAAAGCCATGTCGAAAACCTTAGCCCTGAAAGCATTATTCTTCCCAAAATGCTAATTTCTTCTTAACATTACATCGCCTCAAAACTGTTAAAAGTTACTGAGAGGTAGCATAATCCTACTGTGGACTGAGATACATATTTTAGAAGTTACTCCTGCTATTAATGTTGAACTAATGCTCCACAGCAATAACATTCACTTAAATAGTTTCAAGGATAGTTGTGAATTGGCAGTTTTAGTATTTAGTTATTAAAACAAAAAGCAATACTTACTTTGGTTTCTACAGTGAGTAGTTATACAGCCACCAGCACAAGCATCTGGAATCGCAGGTGAAAGATGGTAACTATTGCTTGGAATATGGCACAAAACTTTTTAAAACGTTTCTAAGTGTTTGTTCTGTAAAACCACAAATACATCAGTAATACAATACAAAGATTTCACGGATGCTCGTTTGCAAACCTTGCCTGCGTTACTACAACCCACCATATTCTATCCTAGGCAAAGACCATAGCAGCCCCTTTACCATGCTGTCATGCTTTCTTCTTCTTTCCATTATCTCTGTATGATTTCAAGACCAGCAAGTATCCCTGTTCTGTCTGCAAAAGAAAGTGGCTTATTGGCTTTCTCGTTGGTTTCTGTTTTCAGAAACCTTATTGTGAACCTGTAGCACACAGAAGATCTTGCGAAAAAGACCAGTATGCGCTTGGATTTTTCTGTCACAAAGTATTAGGTATTTAACAGTAAATGTACCAATGAACAAACCACTCCTTCTACAACTCCTTCATTTACTTGCAGTTCCTCTTAAGCGCTTCCCATTATAATGCCATAGTAACTGCGCTTTCCCACACCTTTCTCCAACAGCTGTATCCAAAGGGTATCAAAGAGCTTCTAGGTCTCATGTGGGGACGTCCTTAAAAAGAGCTGTATTGTTTTAATTGAGAATGAGGTGTGCTTCACAGTACCTTCCACACTTGCCTAAATTTCACACGTGCTTTAGGTTGGCATCTGAAACAGAGACGCTCCCCAGCAGGGTGTGAGGAAGGTAGTGGTTTGTGGGAATAAGTGTGCGGAAACAAGGGCGCAAGTAGTTTACTCCGTGTGCTTTTTCCCTCTTGACCTCTAGTAAGCCTGACCACTGGAGAACTGACCAGTGTCAGATTCAGTGGAGTTAATTTATTTTGGATGTGCTCACAGAGGATAGCCTTGGCACAGAGCAAGGGTTGTGGTCCGTGTGATTAGAAGAAGATTCAAACTGCACATACAGTTTACTGAGATGATGAAGTGTATCCACTGATAAATCAGTACAGACCACCTGTACTCTACTGATCTCAGCTTTAGGAATTTTAAACACTGTATGTTCAATTCTCTCTTTGGCAAATATGAGCAGTATACATCCATTTGACATTTTGGGTTTGATTGTATCAGGACTGTTTTTACATGTGGATGAGTTCTGACAAGTATAAAGTTTCAGAACTGTAGCTCTGACACTTGGAATGACTGACAGTACAGTTGGACAGGACTTTCTCATATCTGCCCCTGAGCGAAGGATTGCATGGGACTGTCACTGTCAGATGAACAGTCTTGGAATGACAGGGTAGATAAATAATCATAAATAAAATGGGTCAGTGCCCCTTCCTTGGTCCTGAAGACCAAGAGGCATGGTTCAGCTTGCATCCAGCGATAAAGAATCATTCTCAGTTCTTCTGGGATGCCAGATTCTGGAAAACTGCATGTGGTTCATAGTAGGGGGAGAATTTCTTTACAGTCTGTATATGGGCCAGGTTACTATCAGCCCATACTGTTTGAAGACAGAAATTACATGAGCCCTAACAATATTTTCAGTTATGGAGTTTTTTCTTAAGGATTTCTGTTAGTTTAACTGAACGTACTCACTGGAGTAAAATAAGCTGTAAGTAAGCTGGTGGTAATTTTCAATTCCGTAGGTTATGTTCACAGACATTAAAATTCTATTATGGCGTATCAGATATGAAGAGCTTCAGAGGATAATTGTTCAATCAAGCCATTGGCTGATGATTAAATTTTAGTTTTATTATTTAAGATACAGACTAATTGAAAAGGTTACCTAAAGGTGTTTTCATTTTCTTCTTCAGGATTTCTTCCGACACTTACCTCATTGGATCCAACAGCACACAGCCATGAATGATGCTGGTAATTTTCTGATTGAAACATGTGATGAGACCATTTCCAGAGACCTTAAACAGCAGCTTCTGTTACTAAACGGCAGATGGAGAGAATTGTTTATGCAAGTTAAGCAGGTATGTAGTTTTGCTATTGTTACTTTTAAATATTTACTTTGACATTTCCATGCAAACAAGACAGATTTGCCCCACTAGCAGGACTGTAGGACAACTTACTAAAGTGTCTAACTGTTCATCACTATTTAAAGTAGAACTGAATCCCTGACAGAATTGTTGTTTCTATATTGCTCTTAAAAAGCAAAAAGATGATGTGAGTTGAATTAGACAGAAGTATTTTACACCTCATAAACACATTAGAAAACATCTTTGCTATTGTCAAGATACATCTAATGATATTTTCCTCTTCCAGCGATTTTAAATACCAGTTGCCTATTTGAAGATGCGGAATCTATTTTCTTTACTGGCATGATTATTTCCACTGCAGTCAAGTTAAATGGAAAAGCAAATAATGATTGCCCCTTTTTTTATTGTAACTTTTCCAAACTGTTGACTAGAATGTTCTCAAGCTTTATTTGCTGATAATATTTAGGGTGATTCACTGTGGAAGCAGTAATGCCCAGGATGTAAATGTCTCTTCCTCTATTCATGCAGCTTCCTTTATGTGCTGGCTGTATGGGTTTTCTCGCTGGCTTTTCACCATTTCTCTCATACAGCTCTTTCCACTAAGGTCTATGTTTCCCCTTGCTCTAGCCAGCAGTTCTTTTATTGAAATTTCCCTTATCGTTTAGCTTTTCTAGGCTTTCGTGTTCTATTCTCTTTGCTGAATTTTCAAAATTAATACTGTAGGTAATGAGAAATTAATCGAGATGTTGACTCTAGGTTAGAAACAGATGAGAGTCTGGCGCTCTCCAAATGTTCCAAACCTTAAAGAAGTCTGACTTCTTACATGAATGTTGATCTTTTTAGTATCAGCACTATTGAAACTAATGCAGACAATTAGTGTCTAACTAATCAAGAAGATTAGTTGCCATTATTTTGTATTTTGTTGAAAACAATTTTTCCAGCAAACAATTGCACTGAAAACATACTAATTTGCTTCAGTCATTACTTAGTTGCGAGATATCTCATTTGTGGTCATTATTTTTTCTGTTTGTTTCTTTCTACTTTACATTTTCTTAGTATGCTAGAGCAGATGAACTGGACAAAATGAGGAAGGAATACTTGGATGGTGTTGCCCATTTGACAGCTTTTATTGATGGAAGCAACAGGAAATTTTCAGTCCCTGTGGAAGTGTCCTTCCTTGATGTCAAACTGTTTGTACAAGATTTAGAAGTGAGTGTCTTCCTCCCATTCCTTTCTTTCTCCTTCATAAGAGAGAAACTTGTAAAAATTTAATTCTGAGAATGTAAAATTTTTGTAGTATACGTTTCCATTATTGCAATTTTTTTTTACCAATGGTGCTTTTTTGTATAACTTCTGCTATAGCTAATATAAATAATTGTACGCTATGAGTGACATTTCTAGAGCATATTTGCAATACACTGTCCCCCTGGATATTTCTTTCTGCGTAGTTTCAAATTGCGTTCAGATGAGCTGACTGATACCCTTTGGCACAGTTTTCATGCATCAGAAATATCCAGTAAATCACTAAAATCAGTGATGAAAACAATAATTGGAGTATATATCTTTTATCTTGTGAGAACAGACTTGTATCTCCCACGAATGCATAAATGCTGCTGTTGAAACATTTTTTGAAATATTTGTTTCAGAATATTAAGCAGAAATTGCCTGTGATGGAAGCTCAGTACAAAATGGTTACAAGAACAGCTCAGCTTGTTACAAAAGAAGTTTCCCAAGAGGAAGTGAATGAAATGCTTGGAACTTTGACAAGGATCAAAGAGCAGCTGAGCAAGGTTGCAGAATGCTTTTTCCACCGCACATGTCGTTGACTGTTGAACTAATAAACAGAAAGCTCCCCTACATCAATGCTCAGATATATGCATTTGAGCAAATGTATAGATATAGTAACAATAGATTGATTCAGAGTGGAGAAAATGTTACTTCTTTTAGACTTTAAGACTACTGTCCTTAAATTTAATATGCTTTTCTTTAAGTAGTACAAGATCAAGACTGATCTATCTTAAGAGGGGCAGTAGCAACTATATAAACCCACATGCAGAGAAAGCTGCTGTTTATTGAATTTTGAAACTTTTCAAGTAATTATTTTTCTTTCAAACGGACAAAAGGTTAAGGAGTACTCCTGTGCCCTGCTGTATGAATGCCAGCGTCTGCTGTCTCCACTGGAAGAACTGGAGAAACAAATCACACATTTTTATGAATCTCTTGAAAAAGTCAATGAAATAATTTCTATCCTGGATCCTGAAGCTCAGCCTACAACTGTGCTTAAACAAAAAGCCCAAGTAAGTTTCGAAAACATCTTACAAAGATCTGCTGCCTCTGAGTATTTATAATTAGCTTTCTAGGAATTTGCATTGCAACTTGGTAAGCTGAGCAACAGTTTCTTCATATTCAGGCAACAAAAATAGCCTATCTTAAAGTCAGCTAGGCATAAACATACAAAGATGGAAACTTGTCTTCCATCCAAGCCCGTGGTTTCAATCCAAGAAGTAAATAAAAGCCTTTTTTTTTTTCAATCTAGTGGAAATTGGACTGAAGTATCAGAATAGATTGGATTTTTTATTAAGCATATGAAATAACGTGACCAGGAACTTCCCTAGGTTTTCTTGGACAATTATGAAAGTTTCTCATAGTCTGGAAGTGGTTTCTTTGAATTGCATTGTAGTAGAACATTAACTTCTCTACCCAACCAATAAATGTTTCTTTCTGGAGAAATTCAGAGCTAGTCAGAACTCACTTGGAAAGTTAAATGAAAATACGAGGATCTTGCATAGGAATTAGTCTTTATCCTTGCGTGTGTGTGGTACATAGCCTAGAGACAGTCCCTCAAAATTGATATGCACATTTCATTAGAGCTGGATTTGATGGGTAATGTAATTAAATGTTTTTTTTTATGGTAACCTGAAGTCTTTCAAAGCCATTTAGAGTTCCTTGCAAGAAAAAAAAAAGAAAGATTTAATTTCACATATGTGTGCATGTATACATATGTATAAATTGGTTCAATAGTTCAACAAGAAGGGTATTCTCTTCCAGTGACTTCAAGCTTTGATGGGATTGTGGTTAAAAATGGTCTTGAGTGCTTGAATCAAGCCAGTCCTTTTATCTTCCTGAGTAAATCCTCTTCTGTTTATGAACACCAGCTGACTCATGTGTCCAACCTGCAGATTAAGGAGCACCTCTATAAGAGTGCTCCTTTTCTCTGTTTCTGAAGGTTAACCTGCTCCAGAATGTTGCAATAAAAAGCCATGTTTCTTCTGCAGTTACTTGCCAACCAAGGAACCAAAATCTCCTCGGTTATATGGAGGTTGCTGGTTTCTGCTGATCAAAGTGTAAACAGAGATTCGTGCTGAGGAATACAACTTTCCTTCAACAGCAGAACAGTTTCCTCACCACAGGATTTTTTTAGATTTATTTTTCATCCTGTGGAACTTTGTGCATGTTTTCTTTTCTTCTCTCTCTCTGTTGGGTTTTTTTTTTAAGTATAATTCTTATTACTTAATGCCATTTGTAATGAAATCTGAATTCTGATAGCTGACATGAAAAGTTAATTGTTGAAAGGCAAGAAAAGTTAACACCTCAACCTGCTGCTGAGAATAGTCATTCTTTCTATTAATTTCACTGGTGCCTACTTACAATTATACAATAAATATAAACATCCCATAAAATTAAATCACAGAATAATGTATTGACCTACATTCTCTAAAAATACCTGAAAGGCTTGGGTACATATCTGTGTCTTTTTTATAGATAGCTGGAGCTCTATTTGGGTACAGGACTCTGCATACAAAGAGAAAGTTGTGTGGTCTGTTAGTCCATGTAACATTTTGTGTAGTCTGTTTGTCGTGGTGCTTTCACCTCGTCCCTTTTCTTCTTAGTGTCAAAAAATATCTTCCTGTTATTTTGCCAAACTTTTCTCTCCTTTGGTCCTGGCCAGGATGGATATATGTTTTTCTCTTTCAGGATTTGGTAGCTTATCAGGAAAACTGCAAGAAAGATTTGTCCCTGATTGAGAGAAATAGTCAGAGTATCCTGCAGAGTGTGGCTTTGAGTGAAGTGTTACAGCATTTCCATCAGTCAACATTTCAGAAGAAAGTTACACAAGTTCAGATTACTTTTCAGGTAATGATGTCATGCCTTTAATGCATATTTTTGAAAGCTTGTTCATATGCAGCTGATCCATCCTACCATATCTCCACTACATCACTCTGTAGCTACTGTCATAGAGAACTCTCATCTCCGATGTCAAGTTATTAATAAAGTATTGATCTGTATTAGGTAAGAAGTGTTCAGGGGACCAACGGTCATGTTCTCCATGCAGTTCAGTTATTCAGAGGTGAGCCTGCCTCAGAGGAGCCTGGGATTTAAGGAGAACTTTCACACATCTCAGGCTTCTTAGGAAGGAGGAACCTGAAATCCACCTGTTAGGGCTGCACTTGTTTTTGTTTCTCCTGATTTTGTCATCTCGGTTAAATATTTGTTTCTATATTCCCATACATCCCCTTTCACACAAAGCGCGGAAGATGGAAACTTTTGCAAATGCTACTATTGCTGGGCTTTGTATTTCCTCACAAAATGCAGTGGATTGTGAATGTAGAAAGCTGCAAATATGTATTTGCGTTTGTTAATGTAAAGATGTGTACTTTGGGCTATAGTCCCCCTTACTCATAGAGCTCTATGCTGTTATTACCCATAATGATATTTTCAGGGCTATTAAGCCCCAGTCTAGCTCCACTTTCACATGAAATTAACCATTATCTTGGAGTCAGATCTCCAGATGTTGGGTTGTATTAGACTTGTTTTCAGACAATTACTGTTCAGTAGAAAGCTTCCCAAACTGAATTTTAAGCTACAAAAAATCAACTACCAGTAAAGAGCTGTCTCTAAGAGGTGGATTGCAAAATTTATGTTGTATTTTGTGGGTTGTGCTTAAAGATCAGTGGATTTTGATTTACATTTAGAAATTATGATGTAAGTTTAGCTTACAGTAACAGAAGTATCTACAGTTGTAGCTTGGTAAATTTCCCATGTTAAACATTAATTATTCTGTTGCTATAAAGATGGATGGTGATTTATCTCTTGTGCCAGAAAACAAACCTATAAAACATGGCATAAGTAACCACACAAAACGTGGCATGCCCAGAGTTAAAATATTTATGGATCTGGAAACTGGCGTTTTCTTATGTGAAGAATACATTCCTATATGATTCTACTATTATACACAATTTTTTACCAGGAAACTTTAAAAAGGTGTTGAAGTTGGGAACTACAGATCTGGTTAGCTCACTGGGTAGAATCATTACAATTCCTTACACCGGGGTTTTGTAATCAGTGAGGACGGTAAAGTGTATGGCTAGTAAGGAGGGTTGGAATTACCTTGCTGCAGTTGAACTGGTGAGCTGTTCATTTGTCCTGGTAAATTTTGTTGGTTGCTTATGGAGTTGTAACCAGTGGATAATGCAGTGCACTGGGACAGACTGCAAAGCAGAATAATGAAGAACTGTGACTAAGGTTTCCAAAGAAGAGAATTTCAGAGTAGCAACTAAAAGACAAAATTTGCTGCTTTTCTTTTAAGCAGCATTCTGCGTGGTTGCTTATCTGGCGTACAAGTGTGATAATCGTACAAACCTCCTCCAGGTCAAAAGACCTGTAGCATGGAACAGGTTGGATCCGTAGGTCAAACCAGCTTCATGTAGAGTCATGTAGAAGGAGGTAGTCTGTTATTAAGAAAAATGGAATGGCAGGCTTTTAGCCATACCCGGTTCTTTGTATTTGAAAGCAGATTTTAGGAAAGAAACACTAGCCAAATGGCAGAGGCATTCTGAAGATATCAGAGACATCTGTATTATATAGCTATGCATTTTTATTTGAATGAAGCATCACATTAGCACGAGCCTTAGTGTAAGTGTTAAAAATTTGGAAAACGGGAGCATGAAAAGAAGCAGCACTTGTTAACGGCATATATTTGAAAGAATGACACCGATTAAATGCTTTTTTTGTAAGATCATAGTAAAAGAGAGCAAATAAAAATCAGTGAGAAAGTGCTAGCTCATTTTATTTGCTTATAACTCAGAATATGGTCAGGAAAGCTGGTGACTGGAGAAAAAACATAGAAGCGAATAGCCGTTTGATGAAGAAATTTGAGGAGTCTAGAGCAGAACTGGAGAAGGTAATACAGATTGCCAATTGTTGCTTAAAAGAAAAAGGAAATCCTGAAGAACTTCTCAGGAAGCATAGCGTGAGTAATTTCTCTGACCTTCCTCGTCGAAATCTTTGAGTGCATGACATAGAAGTGAAAAGCCTACTTAATTTTAAAATTGATGTGGATTTCTTTCACGTATAGAAGTTGTACAGATCAGGTCACACTAATGTTAAGATGGAAAACCAAAATGGAAGAAAGATTATCCCTCTTATTGATGAATGTAAGCAACCAGAAGATGAAGAGAGAAGACCCCCTAGACATTAGGGTCAGTTTTGCCAGTAGAACCATTGGGAGTGAGGACACTACATTTTGCCTGTCTCAGACTTCCACTGCTTTTTTTTTTTTTAGATGAATATCTGTGTCTGTATTATAACTATTACTTATGCATGTAGTTTTAAAACATATTCTAGTTAAAATACCATCTTAATGTACTGGCTGAGAATAAATTAATTTGCTGGACTTCAGGTAGCTAGAAATAGTCTTTCCTTGGCTCAAACTTCAATTCTTCAATGCAGCAGAAGTAACCTTGAAACTTACAGAATGTGTTAGGGAACATCAAGTTGGCAGGTTACCCTATCAAAAACCACCTTCATCTTCTCACCTTCTCGCTTTCTGCCTCAACTTCAGGAATTCTTTAACCAGTTGGATCAGAGAGTCCTAAATGCCTTTCTGAAAGCATGCGATGAACTTACTGACATCCTTCCAGAACAAGAGCAACACAACCTGCAGGAAGCTGTGAGAAAACTCCATAGGCAGTGGAAGGTTAGTGACATTGAATGATGTCTCTGGAAATTGCAAGTCTTAACTTTGGAATATTTCTGCATGACCTATATGTTGAAAAAATTTAAAACAAAATAAATAAATTGTATTATTTGTCTTCCTGTACAACCGTAAAAAAAATATATATGTATTTTACAACATTAGATACAGTTACACCTACAAATACCCTCTTGAAAAAGCCCTGTTAAGTGGTCAAAAGTCAAGAAATGTGAGAAATTAATTATGAAACCTTAATTTCTCCCCCTTTGTGCAGCCATAACGATACCTGTGTTAAGAACATTTGTTGAGAACAGGTGCTAGCTTTTCTTACTTTATGCTGGTGTTGGATGATTGCAGTTACTTTCCCAACCTTTATAAAACATATGTGTAAGAGATCAGGCTATCAGTTTAATTTGTGTCTTCTGCCAAAGGCCCTAACAACTGAACAAACATTGCTCATGAACTATGGAAATTTTTGCCTGCTACAGCCTGTTGCAGGTCAAAGCTGGAGTGACAGATGAGTGGTTTCTCACTTGCACACAAACAAGAATCTCTGGAAGCAGTTGTGAATATAGTTTCACTATTGTTGTTTGCTTTATTATTTTATACAGGAAATATTTGGTATATCTTGCCAAGAATCAAGATGTCTCTGTGATGTTCCTTATACATACATATTCTTCTGTAAAGAACTTACAATCAAAACTTATGACCTTATGATGTATCTGAGAGATATTGGTAATAGAGTTGCTTTACTTACTTAAATGAATACAGAGAAACCCCCATGTGTTCATGCATATATGCTTTATTTTCTGTATTAGCAGTTTTTAGATAATTTATTTGTAGTAAATTCACACTGGGGTAATGGGACCAGTGTTTTATCTCTGTGCTTGTTTATTGCACTTGTGGGTGTGTAGGATCTTCAAACAGAAGCCCCATATCATTTGATCCACTTGAAGACTGAAGTTCAGAAAAGCAAGTTCCTGGTCACAGTGGAGGAATGCAAAGCTGAACTAGCTCGACAGAACAAGGTGCTGTCAAGAGAAGGCAATGAAAGGATGATCGAGGAACACATGGTATGAATTATATGCCACTGATGGGCATTTACAGAAATAAGTTTCAAGGTCAATAATAAACAGAAGGTCTGACCAACTCTCAAGCCACCAAACACTCCGTGCACAACTATATCAGATCAATCCTTTGGGCCTTTAAAAAAAAAAAAATTGAGCTTAGTACAGTTCATAATAAATATATAGATATGCTTTGCGATTTCTGCCAGTATGTATTTGTATTGTCTTTCCTGATTTGTCTCTCATCAGTTGTTCTTCGGGGACAAGGGACCTTACCAGCTGTGTGAGAAAAGGCTACAACGAATTGAAGAACTGTGCCAAAAACTGCCAGTTTCTGATCCAGTGAGGGCTACATTGGAAAGCAGTCAACGAATCCTGAAGGAGCTCAAATCCCAGATAGACAGCACATACGTAAAGCTAACAGAGCACTCGAACACCTGGAAGGGCTATAAGAAAAGGTGTCAGCTCAACTGCTAGCTGGGTCTCATAGAGCGTTATGTGTGGTCACTCTTCTGAATGTCGTCATAGATCAGCATCACCTAAAGAATGATACTTTGGTGTTAGCTTCAAGTAGAAAACTATAATTTATGTAGTAATTCCACAAACTATAGTGGGGCTTTGAGTAGATTTTATAATTTTTGACTTAAAGTTAAGAGGTTACTGTTTGGTGGTAGCAATTTTTGTGTAGCTTTTTTCCCTGCTTTGCATTATGTGATGTTTTGTTTCAGATTTTCTGAATTGGCAAATTGGATTTCGTCAACAGAAAGAGACCTAAAGAAGATTAAGGAAAGTGTCAGTGATACTGCCAAATACAAACAATGTAAAGCATCCATGGGGGTGAGCCTGTGGCTTATTTTCTAACAAAGCTATGGTCATTGCTACTGAGACTCTGGATAAAACTGTATGCTGAAGTAGTGCCACACTTTTACTATGGAGACCATAGTAGCTCTGCTGATTCCTGGTATTCTGAAAAACGTTTCCAGGAGAAAGTTCCACATGCAGCAAAGTGCAGCAGAAGTTCCTACTTTTAATAATTTAGGGAATGGCAGGTCCCTTTACCTGTGTATTCATAACATCCAAAATATAGCAGCAGAGAGAATAAATACTTGCCCCTCATCTTGCTGCGTGCATAGTTAAAAGTGCTGTGCAAAGAAAACACAAAATTTCTGGACTGGGGGTTTTTGAAGGATCAAGTTACAGTCTTCCATTTAGGGAAATCTGTAATAAAAATTCTCTTCCACAGTAGTGTAACAGGGGAGGCAAAGATATCCTACCATACACTTTTGCGTTGGTGACTGGTAACAAGTGGTAAATAGCTGAAGATTGAGTCATTTGGTTGAATTAGTTTTAGGCAATAATTTATTGTGTCACTTGGGACCTAGCTTGACCCTTATTTCTTTTTCTGCTTTCAAGTGATAGAAGTAAAAATAGGAATGTCACGTACTGTAGGAGTTTGTGTGAAAGTCGTGAGCATATTATAACTGTGCAGAGAAACATAATTAGGATGACCTTCATAAAGCAGGTAGACCTTTAGCTTAATGGCTGCTTCTGCTCCAAAATTTACTCATGTAGTTTCACTGCTGGTAACTTCTCATCAACACTGGCACAAAGATATAAATGAACTAGCTACTGAGTGAAAAGAGGAAAAACAGAGCTATTTAAGCAAGAAAAAAACACACAAAGCCTTATAGCACGTGAAATTTTCTGTTTGCAAAAGTCAGCATTTAAGATTTAAATGGTAACTAAGGAATTTAGTCAATATATGGAAAATATATACACGGTATCTACCATCTATCTCTGTATCTGTAGGTAAAAATGTTAGTTTGTGAGGAAAATGTACTCCACTACTGCTTATAAAAGAATAGTCTAATAAGTAGTGCAGTAAAGTTTGTAGAGGAAATGCAAAAATCTAGCCATTAACTGGAACAGAATCAGATAGGGTATGCAAATAGAAAAATACTACATTTTCTACATGTTTAAAGATAAGAACAAAGGCAGTATGTTTATGCTACTAATCTTTGAACTGATGTCATGAATGTTACTCATTAATATATTTTGGGTGTTTGAAGAAAATATGTTTTGATTCTTCCATAGGAAATTAGGAAGCAAATAAACAAGCAAGGAGAAAATCACAGCTGGCTGAAATCTAGACTTGCTGTTTTGACTGCTGTATCTCCTGATTTGGAGGCCAAAAAGACAGAGGATGAGCTTTATAAACTTTCCAGTGACTTCAAGGGACTCCTAGATTTGCTCGCTGAGGTACAGTATAAAGGACAGAAGAACTCTCCATTTACAGCATCACATGAAATGACATCAATCATGACTTCACAAGCATAAGTTCCCTGCTGTGTGTGTTTAATTAAACTGCAAAAAACTCATTTATACTCCCTGGGTAGCAAAGCCTTGAGAGTGCAGGCAAAAAATACTGACATTATTATAATGGGTCTTTTCCCTTTGCAGGATTGGAAAGCATCATAGTAAATGTTTCTGGAGTCAAAATATCACTATTTTTAGAGGCAAAAGATTTTTTTAAATCTAAAATTTTTCTAAAATCAGCTTTTAGCGAACATTGGCAAAACCATGTGTACATCAGCTAGTAGAATTTGACTTTAATCTTCATTTATGTATCTCATGCTGAAATAATAAAGGAACTACTGTGAAGTAGTTTCAAATCATTAAGGATGTTGGTCATGCACTGAAATTGCAGAAAAAGTCTGCAGTTCTGTGAGATCTGAATGATAAGGAGATACTGTAACTGCTGAAATCATGGGAAGTTTCTAACTGATAAGCAAGACCTCTTAGAATCCACTGAATCCTTGAGTTCCATGGAATCTCAGGGAACTTACTGCTTCGCTGTTTTCACAGTAAAAAGAAAGATCAAGAGAAACTTAGAATATCATACACTTAAAAGGCAGAACAGATACATTTGAAAAGAGAATTTGAGATAGAGGAAGAGTTCAGGCTTCAGATTCCATTGTTAACATCTATTCTTGTGGAGGCCTTGTAAGCATTCCAAATGTATAAAAGTTCCCTATATTTACTGAAAATTCTCTAAACTTCTGTGGTGTGAAAACAGTGCTTGGAATGTTGGGGGAACCAACATTCTGGTTTCTAAGTGACTGCAAAAAATTTAGGATAACATCTTTTATTTATGTATTTATTTTGTACTAAAGTATTTTTGCTTTTTACTTCCTCTGAAAGTCAGAACTAAGGGGAGCACAGATTCATGAAGGTAAAAAAAGGAAGATAAGAACTAGAATGTAAACTTGTTTTGAATCTAAAAGCGTAATCTAAATGGCACTTTGTACTATAGTGAAGAGACTGTTGATTCTTAAAAGTCTGAATGCTCTTTACAGCTAAATGTACAGCTTGTTAATCAGATGGATGAGACTCTTTAGGCAAGGACTGAAACTGAGTGTGGTTCCAGAGTTCAGCACTGGGTTTTGGGTGGTAAAGACTAAACATTTATATAACAGGAAGGAAAATGGCTTGAATCTGAATGACCCTCCAAAATTAATATGGACTTAAAAGAAAGAAAGGAAGGGAGGAAGAAAAGAAAGGAGGTTTAGTTCAAGAATACTTAGAATACTTTAAAACCTTAAACCACAGGAACAGTCTGAGCAATAGAGTCCGTACTGAGAATCGGCTACAAGTAGTTAGCTGAATCATGCAAAGAGGGAAGAATTTTCTGATATGTTCAATAGATGTTAAGTTTTTCTTTTTAAAGTTCTGCAGACTGAGACTGGATATTGCACTACTGTATTGTGTTCCATAAAACCAGGGTAACAGGACATTTTAATAGATTTGTCGTTCACTGGATCATTTCTCTAGAAGGTCCAAAAGGCAGCAGGATTTTTTTGTGAACTGAATAGTGCAGGTGTTTCAGAATCTGGATCAGCTTATAAGGGTGAGGACAGAGTGTATTTTCTAAGTGATCACCAATAAGTGGCTGTCACAGACAGCTGTTTACCATATGGCCATGTAATAGGGGTCATGTTTAAACAAGACAAAGGTCTCCTCGGTCACATTTTAAGCCTACAGTCACTCTTTCAATGTAAACTAAAGGTGTCTGTTAAAAATGCTGGAGACAAAAATGGTATGAATTTGGATAGTCTGTTAAAATTGCTGGAGACAAAAATGGTATGAATTTAGATAATTTACTATGTTTCTTGAAAAAATACTGCAAATACAAATATGCCCTTAAGATATAGATGTGCCTTTCATCTCGAAATACTTAAAGCTATCCGTCATTGTAGATTGAAAAGACATTAGGCACAGTTGGAGACTGTGTCCAGTACAAAGAAGAAGTTAAAAGTGCAATTGAAGAGTTAATCAACAACTCTAAAGAAGCCCAAGCAGAGGCTGAAAAAATCCTGGATACAGAAAGTTTATTACAAGCTCAGCAACTACTACTTCATCATCAGGTACAGCAATTATTCATGTCCATATTCGATTTATTTTTTTAAGGTAGAATGTATGTAATTACTAAATTTTGTTATGTCCATTATCATAACTCTTTATATTTAAACTTGGAAGAATTATGAAGGAAGTAGTCTCATACAACCTAGTATGATTTCTTATAGTAAAAAAAAGTGCTCAGTATTTTTTAAATGTTCATGCCCAAAGATGAGCTTGTTTTTCAACATTTATTGAATATCCCTTTATTTCATATGGTTTTCTTCTGGCACAGAACACCTGAAAAACAAGCTTCATTTACTTGAAATTTTGGTAAAGAGTTAAAAATTTGTGTGTCATATTTGACCATGGTAAATTTGGCCTAGTCCTGGGTTTGGACATTTCTCCACTTCATCAGCTTTGATGTGGCCCCAACTCTGAATGCTGGAGGGGAGGTGTACCTCAAGCCTCATTTCCTCCTATAGGCAGCTACTGCAGTGACAGATTGGCCTCCAGTCTCTAGGAGTACAACAGGAGGCTTTTTATGCACTGTTAATGGATGAAAACATCTGTGGGTAATAATAAATCACATGGGTTGCATACAGCATGAATCATGGGTTTTAAGACCAAATATGGGAAATTAACTTTGAGACCTGCTCAAAGCTAATAAGAATAATTTGTGGTTGATGTTTGGGCATTATATAATTGGTTTATATTAACACCTTTTTCTGTAAGGTCAGACATGTCTTATTGTCTGACCAGGCACTACTGTGTCTTACCTCTGTCTTATCCAAACTCCTTGGTGTTTGTAAAAGCTGTTGTTTGTGTTAAGGTTCATATTTGCTCTTTCAATACTCTATAATCTTTATCCGTCATAGGAGAGGTGGTAGGAATAGTTAACAACTTCTGGAGTTCTCAGACTCTTCTTCTGCTTTTGATATGGAGTCTATTAAGGTAAAAACAGACTTTGACAAAGACCTGAAGGTACCCAGAGTAGAACTGAGCAGCGAGATGTGAGCTTACCTAGCCAGGCTGGCAGTGGGTCAGGCATGGTAGGAAAGGAGGTGGGATGTAGTCTTACGAGTTTCTGATAGAGCTACAAAGCAAAACGCATCAAAGAGAGAGTTCTGCAACTTGGTTATCCCCCTACTGCTCTCTAATGAAGGCTGATATATTGCTTTGATCGATCTGAGGCTCCAACCTGTGCCTCAGAGTGCAGAGCAGACCTGGATGCTTCCAGGCGCTCATGAGGAACACATGCACCTGTGGCTGCTGCTGCAGTTACTCAACTGTTGTGGCTTCTGCTTTCTAAAATGTAGCTTAAAAAAAAATGGCCAGACTGTCACTCTTCTCTCCTATTTGTACGCTGCAAAAGCTGTATACACATTTTGGAACCCAAGGCATATACTTCAGGAGGATATGAGACTCTCAAGAATACTTGCAACAGTTTATCCCTTTGTCTGTTATTCTCATTGCATACCCCTGCAAAAGCAGAATTATGCCAGTTTCCCAAAGGAGCTAAAAAGTCTGATATTTCCTGTTGGATGAATCCTTTTAGCAAAGAACAAGGAGACTCCGTGCAAAGAGGCAAGATGTGCAACAGCAGATTTCCCAAGCTAAACAGTTGCAGATTGAAGGTGGGCTGCCCAGCACAGTGCAAGAGGATTTACAAAAGTTGGAAGAAACATTGGAGAACATGCAGCAGACTATGGAGAGGCGTGAAGAGCAACTGCAGGTGGGTCCTTTGCAAGCAGAAATAAATACCTGTGCTTTCTTCTTCTGATTTTTTTTTATTTCTTTAAACTTAGTAAAACCCCGATTTTTTTAATGTAAAAAGTCTGAGCTCATGTTCTCACCTCTGAATCTTGGTCCTCGGGGTTTTCATGATCAGTACTTCCATGAAAACTTCCTGAAGCTGCTGATAGCTCTTAATAAAGAAACAGCGTTTTGTTTGGAAGTGTTTAAAAGTTGCAACTATTCAGTCAGAATAGATATTTTAAATAATTTATCCGTAAATTAGTTTTTAGATGGGCTGTCTGCTCTGATTACTAAAGATGACATTGCCCTTTAACTGAGAGTCTTTAGTCTGGATATTACTGTCATAATGCTTGTGACTGTAATTAAATCCTGTATGTTAATCAAAATTTTACATTATCAGAAAAGAACAAACAGATTTCTATGTGGGAATTTCCTGTGAGTAGGGATTTTCTTCTACCATTTTACTGTAATTTATTTCATTAGAGAACTTAAAAGTCCTTTTAGGTATTGTTGACTACCTGTCACCATAAGCATAGGCATCTGCATTTATTACATCAGACTTCTTACAACACATTCAAATATAAGATTGAAATATTGCTGGCACCTTAGAGAACAGCACTTCTTGGCACAGTGCAGTACGAATCAGTGAAAATTCAAAGAAAAACTTTTCTTTCGTTGGGTTCAGAACAGTTTCATCCATAGAATAAATGGCATTTCAGGTCTTTCTGGCTTTTCCTTCTTCGGTAACTTACCATGAATTTCTTTTTTCTCCCCTTTGATCTTTTTGTCTTTGTGTTCCTGTTTTGGGTGTGTTTGCTTGTTTTTGTAGGTCACAATAAATAAATGGGAGCAGTTTGAAAGAGACAAAGAAACAGTAGTAAAATATCTCAATCAAGCAAGCTCGGCACTTGAACGTATCTTGAACTTTAGCAGTTTAGAGAGCCTCTCCTCAGAACTGGATCAGACAAAGGTATTCACTGTGTGAAATACAGGAACTGAGATATCTTTCTGCCTTACTTGTTAACATGTTGTGAGTGTACTGCCTTCAATCTTCGCATGGTTTCCTGTTAGTACCAGTGCAAATTGCATATACAGATTAGAGACTGAAGAAACTGTCTGGAGGTAAAAAGTTGTTTTATGAAAAGATCCTGAAGAATTACTCAAAATCTGCATCTGAAGTACACGTATGGAAGGTAGAATGATGTTGAGGACTTCCCATTTTATGCTCAGTAATCATCTATACTAGTAAGCTAAACAGTGTCAAGTGCTGCCCTATGCCCCTACCTACATCAGTAGGGTGCTCTTAGGCAAGGTTGTGTGGACTGTGCCAACTAGCACTCTTTTAGCCCTGAGGAGAAAGAGGAGAGACTTCTACAATATGGACATAAGGCATAACCTGCTACTTACCCTTGGCAACACACAAATATCCCAGACTATTTTATTCACTAATACAGAAGTAATAGCAGTGATTGGCTTTCCAAAGTGCCATGTTTTTCATACTGTTTTTACCCTTTGATGAATCTGGCACTAAATTGTGCATATTTTGGTTATGTTTAGCATCCATTGTTCTGGTGCATGGGTTTACTGTTTGTGACAGAAAATAGTTGTTAAATAAAGTGAGTTCACAAGCTACAGGATACTGCAAAATCCTCTCTGGAAAAGTAGGATCTAAAGATTAAATAAAGACGCAAGTAATCTTCAACAATTCACAAATAAACTTCTTGAAGAGCTACAGAAGAAATTTTAATTTGTTGAGTTAAAAACTTTTGGACATATAGTTTCCCTTGCTAAATTTTATTCAAGCTAGTTTGCTCAAATGAACATTTCTTAAATGCAAATAAAGAAAACAAAATTAAATGCAAATTAAAATAGCTTTCTTCAGAGGTGGTTTTTATGTATTTACAAATTCAAAATACCCATGTAAGACACATACTTTTTCTAACCACAGACATTCAGGAAAAATACTTTTTGTGTAAATATATGAAACTGTTTATAGTTGTATTGATGTGTCTTGCATCCTTACAGGAACTTTCTAAACAGACGGAAGCAATGGCAGTGCAGGCTGAGAATTTGGTGAAGAATTCTTCTGAGATACAGCTTGGTTCAAAGAACAAGCAGTCCCTTCAACAGCAGGCAAAATCAATCCAAGAACAAGTGAAAAAAGTGGAAGTTACTCTTGAAGAAGAGTATGTTCTTAACAAGTTCTAGTATTTATTCTCCACTATAATATTGTATCAGGTTTCTAGAATACCTTGTCAGCATTTCGCGTTGTCTCATCAGCTCTGTCATTTACAGCTTGCTGTGGCATAGTAACCAGGTTATAGTACCAAATACGTCAAAAGCGTGTGTGCACATAAACAAAATCTTTGTTTAATAATACACAGTTTCTAAAACCACTGTTAGTTACACTTAACCTGTCACTTATCTTTAAGCCCCAGTCTCATGAAGAAGGGATAATTAAACTCATTCTTCAGGTACTGGACTCTTAGAAAGAAAAATCTCCATGCAAATATGAGAATAGCACATTTACCATGTTTGCCCCAGTTTTCAGTATTCCACTTTCTCCATAAGAATGTCAAGAAGTGCCTTCATCTTAGCTGAATGCCCAGCTTTTATTTCATAGGCAATATCAAAAGTTGCTTCTGCTGCTGCAAATAACAAAGGCATCATTTGCCAAATTTTGTTTAAAAATTGAAATTTCAAGCTCCAAGAAAGTGTTGTTGAATCCTGTAAATACTTGTAGCTTTTTGTATTTGTAAAGATTTTGTCCTTTTTCTCAAGTCAGTAACTGAATTATTGAACTCCAGTTACTCAACTTCAGCTTCAGCTGTTGCTATTCTCATTTTATCTATATAGACGTACACTTATATGTGTGTATGAAATTAGTATTTTTGCATATATTAGATCTGATACACAAGTCATGGGTATACATGCCAATTCTATGTTGTCTTATTGGAATTACTGTGTAAAATAATTTGCTGTGTAGATTTAAGCAGGTACCACCACCTCCATCTGAATATGAGCGAAAGACAATGCCCACATAATTGTTTTTTTTCTGCTATTGGCCATTGTCATGCTACGCTGACTTTAATTTGGTACGATCTTCTTCCTAATGTAAAAGAACATTTGTAAAACAGAATAAGTAGCCTCTGCAGCAGATGTAACTTTCTGATTATGGATGGTCTAATTTTTTTACATAACGCTTTCTCCAATATGAAGTATTACAGTGATTTGTAGTCAAATTCTACCATATCTTACTGAATACTTCACTTTATACGTAATATTCTCCCATATTAGAGAGAAAACTAGTGTGATTCTTTTAATTCAAGAAATTCATCCTTCCGACAGTGAATATTCACTTTTTTATTAATGTCATCTATTGATATCCCCTTTCAATGCAGATATGAAATAGGTTTGGTTGAATGTATGCATTATTCAGAATGTGAGTACTGTGACAGACAATAAAAAAATACATCCCTTCTGCAAAACATGCAAATATATACAACTCTTTACAATGAATCTGCAGAACATATACTCAGTATGTAAGAGTTATGTTGTAACTTGCATCATCAATAAAAATTTTGGCCAAGTAATTTAAAGTAAAGGTATTCCAAATGCATATGGTACGTACTGTGCCAATGAACAGGAAAGGGAAAGAAAAGTTTGAGCAGGTCTCCATAGTCAGCTGCAGAGCAAACTTAGCACATCCATTTTCCAAGGAGACCATTTGTAGCTGTGCAGTGTGTTTGGGACTGTATTCTTTAGAGTCTGCGGCTTTGTTACAGCTATAAGGAAGGCAGAAACAAAGGCGAAGGATTTTCAGCTGATGTGCCACTGATTTGGTCCTTTGATTCTGATTTCCAGCTGGACTTCGGCTGAACTTGAGTGAAGTATTTTTGCACTTTATTTTCCTGCAAATAACTTGAATTTGAATACACTCTTATCAGTAAATGGCTATTGACATTGCTAATTTTGTTTTATTTTGAAAATACATAAGAAAAAATAAAAAGGCCATTTTTTACATTTTTAGACTACATCTTTTCTTAAAGCTTCCTCTGTCTTTAAGGAGGGGAAAAAAAAGAAAATAAACCAAAAGCTTTTTAACATGGAATGGTTTTTAAGGCTATATTTAAAAGGAAAATGTATTTTGGAATTTTTTAATATTCAAACTTTTCTGATTAAATTTTAATATTTTCAGTGAAATAGAAAATTCATGTTTTGCAAGCTGTGTGTAGGGCCCACATTAGCAGTGGTTTCTTTACAATGACTTCAAAGGAGCAGAAACCTGTATACTGGAAGTTAATGCTTTTAGACCTTGTAGGGGCCTTCTTGCTTGTGACAAAAAAAAGGGTGCTTTGTTTGCTATCCAATATATACAGGAATCAGTCATAGTCTGTCACTGTTTGACATATCTATAATGTATGTTTCAAAGACTGTAAATCTGTTAACTTTGAGGTAATTGAGTCATATCTTGATATGAAATCATTGCCTCAGAAAACACAGACTGCCTGTAAGATGGCAGATTGCTGTTATAGAAAAACAAGTTTAATGAAGCGGTGAAGCATTGCTGAATATATGTACATCCACAATTCACTGCTTTTAATCATTCTGTTCTAATGACTGAGGAACATCTATGCACTCAGTTATCTCAATTTTTAGGTGTCTGATATAATCCTAAATTCATATTATTTCATAAAATCATATTTAAGTTACTTTTCATTTCTCTCCTGCTATGATGAGATTCTTGATGTGCAGATGATGAATGAAGCTGTAATCTGTTCCACCTCTCAGTGTCCCCACTATGGCTAATATAATTGTTTGACTTTTGGTGCAGTCTAAGAGAGAACCAGGTTTGAATTTACGTGCATAACTTGGTCCTCTAAAACCAGGAGCTTTTTAAGTGACCCTCCTGTAGACTGAAGAAGTTACATTTTTACTCTAGCAAGAATATGGGCAGCTTCATTATATTAAACTGTTTATTCTCTCTAATTAATTTGGTTAATTTTAGTATTAAAAGCATGGAAATGGTGAAAAACAAGTGGGATCATTTTGGCAATAATTTTGAAGCTCTGTCCATCTGGATAGCTGAACAAGAAAAAGAACTGGAAGGTCTGGAAACATCAGCATCTCCTTTGGACATACAGATCAGCCAAATCAAGGTGATTAGTTCTTGTTATGCTTAGCATTAAAAGTTCATTTATCTGTCATTTCACCAGAGACCAAATGGGAGAACAGACATTTTACACATTTCAGAATTACCATGATGTAATGATGGAGTGCTTTGTACATGAATATACCAAGCAGTAAGGTTTTACGTAAATTAAAGGAAAATTTTTACAGGCTGCCTTCTCTGTTAGTGTTTAATTTATGTATATGGAGCCTTTGTGTGTATGGTTAAAAATATTATTTAATTTATACTCTTCTTATTTTTTGAGTAAACTCAACTGGTGTGCAAAATAGCTACACAAATACAAGGTGTATAAAGCTTTTATTTTAAAACATGCATCAGCTAGTGGATATAGAACTTGATTTTTATCTTGCAAGCTAAAGTTATGACTTGATTTATGTATCTTTTATGCTGAAATAATAAAGAAACTATTGCTCTTGGTAGCTTGAAAACCTACATATCATTTATTGCTATTATATTTACACTGTCTTAAATTCTGTGTACATTTCTATAAATACACAGTGGTTTAGTTTCTTATTGCTAAGTGAGGTGCATATTGTCTCCAAGCATTGCATTTCAAGGGCTGACTCCATATCCTCCCACAAACAAAAACGTACCTTCTCTGAAACAGCATGTTTCTAAGGGGACAGTTTCTCACTCTGTGGTGCACGCTGCCATTTTATTTGCTCTGTGACCTACTTGCTCTTCAGAAAATGCACGTGTGTGCAGCTGCTTGCAGTCACGGACCAGACTGACACTAAGAATTTCCAGAGGATCCCATAAGGCATTCATTTTGTGTGACAGAAATGGTTTATCAACAGATTGTCCTTTTCTTAATTTGATCATAACTTTATATACTCCAAATAAATAAAATCTCTTGATTTCATCATTGAAGGATAAAACAGTGCTTGAATTCTTGCTTCATTGCCACAGCAATTCAGAAACAGTTTCCTTGTCAAATAATATATACGGGTTTGTTCCACTGGCATACGCTGTCACGTAGGTGTACTTTTCAGTAGTTACTAGATACGATTCAAATGTTTAAGATCGAAAGTAAGTGCATCAAATGATATTAATATTGCATTGCAGTGTGACAACAGCTCTTGTCTGTCTAAATGGAGTCTAGCTGAGCCCTACTAGTCCATTCAAGCCAATTTCACAGAAAGGCTCTTTCTTGCTATATAGGCAGATAAACAGTAATTTTTACACTGCATTGCAAGTTTTTGAAAATGCCAACATAAGCCTTCTTCATTTAAACATCATGACAGAAAAAAACAGTCAGCAGGTAATCATTATAGACATCAAAGTGAACAGACATAAAGCAGAGAAAATCCTCCAGACGAAGCCTAGGGTACATCGTTGTAGCTCAGCTGAACAAACCAGCTTCATGAGCTGTGAATTGTGAAACAAGTCACCTAACCTCTGATACATGGACGCAGCTGGAGGTCTTCTTCAGCAGCATTGCTTTGTGCCTGATTTTGAAGGGTTTGTTGTATTCTGTTGTGAGTTTCCTGATGAGTTAGTCTGTGTCACAACGCTAATCAGCATACTTAGTTCATAATTTCTACTACAGCAGATAAGTAAGGAATATTGCAATATGAGCCAAATGCACCAAAAAACAATAGTGTGGTCCCTGATGCCTTTGGCTGAACAGATAAAAAACCTGAGGTCAGCTGAATGTAATTATCACACGTAGTGGTAATATTCTACCTTTGGTGACATTGATTGCAAAACCCCGATGACTTCAGCAGAGACAGATTTTCACCTCTGCATTTCTCCGACATTCCTGGTGCACAAAATGATGGTTCTCAGAAGTAGTTACCATTGGTGGCAGACGCGGTGAGAGTTTGAAGGCCTCAATTATCCACCTTCTTTTATGTAACTGAGTGAATTTAACAGAATAGTGTGGGAGTTAAAAAGCGCTGCCTCATTTGTATCTGCTGCATTGTTAGGTAATTTCAGCTTCAGGGCCACAAATCCAGTAGTTTTCCTCAGCACAGTGTTCTCATGCAAAAATGATATTTTATAATCCAAATTAATTCAGAATATATTGTAGAAAGAGACACTATAAATGCTTACAGCACCACATTTCTTTCTGTACTGTCACCCTGCTAATTCTAGACTCTGAATGTTGCAGTAAGCCACTCCTGAGCTTTATAATGGCAAGCAAGATACCGTATTTTTATCACAATTATAGCAGAAGTTGGACACTTTCTATGCTTTTGAGAGTGCATTTTCAGAAAAGTTTTTGGTTGATGTCGTATACATACATATCTTAACATTTTTATATCTGAGAATGCTATTGCGTATTTCAATTTCAAAGAGTGCTTTTGACTCTTTCAATTCCCTCCCAATGAGTGTTTTTCACTACTTTTGAGAAGAGATCCATGGACGTGCCAGATCAGCAGAAATTAAAATATTTCTGTTGTGAAAAATATCTTGCTTCCAAGTTCACCAATGGTTACTGAGTAAATAACCACCGACTGTGAAACACCAGAAGTTTCTGTCTTGGATGTTGTAGCTTTCAGGTTTGCCACTAATTTGCGATAAAAACAAGCACGGAAAAGTAGGAGACAGTTGCTGTCATGCAGCTGATGAAGTGTAAATCCAGTGCTAGTTTGTCTTTATGCATTTACTAATTGACGCAGAAGACAGCTGAAAAGTAGCAAAGGCCTTTATCACTTTTGTTTCATGGTTTCCTATTTATACTGTAATATGGTTCTTTATTTAATCCTCTGCCTGAGGGCACACTTACCCTACCTTATAATCTAATTTAATTTATTCTTTATTATACCATTGAATTTTAAATTAGAAAAAGAAAACTGTCTCTATTGGTTTTCAAATCATAGCATGTTTTGTTTTCTAAGTGCTGAAGAACTTAACTTAAACACCAGTAATCAACCATTAGGGTTCAGCTCCTTAACAATATGGTTTTCAGTTATACACTTACTTTTTTAATCTTGTATTTATTTTGAATCTTTAAGAGAATTGTGTATTAATTTACTGTGAAGTAAGAGATGCTAAAATATCAACCATCTTGTCTGCTTATGAAAATGTGCACCTCAGGCAATTCTAATTCCTCCTCATAGACACTGTTTTCAGTGCAGGCTATTTTTTAAACATTGTTGAGTGATAATTTCAATAAGAAAAAGGGAATTTGCAGGGTATATTACAGACTTTTATAACTAATTGTTTCAAGTGGTGAGTGAACCCTCTGCTTATCTACTTTTTAAATGAAGAATATTAGTAGCTCAGGCAAAAGAAGGAGGTAGAAAATATTATTCTGATAATTAAAACCTATTGTGCTTCTTTAATTACTATTACTTTACCTTTTAGGTTATTAATAAAGAAATAGATGCTAAAATAACTGGAATCTCAAAACTAGAAGAGGAAGTGGAGTCTTTTTCCCAGTTTGTTACCTCTGGAGAATGTGCACATATTAAAGCCAAACTGACTCAGGTCAAAAGGTATTGGGAAGAACTAAGAGATCATGCACAAAGACTGGAAGGAACAATCACAGGGAAAGCATCAGCACAGCAGAAATATGAAGAAAATCTTAAACAGGTAGACAATGCAAAATCTCATGGATTGTTTGCAGCAATTTATAGAATTAGTCTTTATTTTTCCAAAATTGAATATCAAAATGCGTATTATAATAGCATGAACTAGAATATATAAGCAGATTTGTAAGGTAAGTGCAAGACGTCTATATGTAAATTTGTACTTTGAGTGATTTATAAGGCAGGTTCAGGAAGACACTAAAGTATATGCATTCAAAAAATTATGCTGTCTTCTAGAAAACCTAAGTGATTCTCCTGGGTATTGCGCTAATAAACCACATCCATGCTTCTTAAAAACACTTTCACTTCAATATTGAGTTGTTAGTAGATCACAAGGAAAACAATTTAAATATTATTATTGGCTGGTGACAAGGAGCGCTGAGCCCAGTCATCATCTTTTAACTTCAAAAGGCACTCAGCACTACAAAAGCTTAGGATATAAAATTCTCTTAGAAATAAATATTTATAAGATGTTATTTAAAGCATCATTTATCTATTTCCTGATGGCTTTAGACTCTCTGGTTTGCCTTTTCTTTATAGGTGCAGCGGGCAGTGTCTGAATTTGAAGCTAAGCTAGCTGAGCCTCTCACATCGTGCTCTTCAGCAGCAGCAACATACACAGCCTTTCAGGATTGTACGGTGAGCATGTGGCCAGTGATTCGTGCCACCAAACCCAGGGAAATGGTGCCACACTGACCTCCTCACAGAAATGTCAGTAACCTCCTGACCAGGGGCTGCCTGATGCCACACAGCCCAGGATGGAGGCAGGAGGAGTCAGGGGCTGCCTATAGGGGTGGGTAGCCCCAGGGAAGGCTTTGCTGTCTTCCTCAGCTACTTCTTCTCACCATTTCAGACAGGCTTGGAGAATTTTTTCGCCACTGTAGAGAAAGGAAAGCCTGAAAGTATAAATTAATCCTTCAGATTCTTCTTTTTAATTTTGTGCATTGAAAACGTTATGAAAAACAGAAGATAAGAAACATGTCTGTTAGACATTTTTCCTCAAAGATTTTCATGAAATTTGGGTCTTTGTATAGAGAACTGTGATTAAAAAAAAAACATCTCCTCGGAAGTAATTTTTCTGGGACAATGCAGAGACTGGACAGTTTCAGCTGACAAATTTTTGTCTGTGATGCCAGAAATTCATGGGTGTTTGGATATTTGGTGTAGTCCATTACAAAAGGAAAAGAAAAGTTGGATTGGTATTCAAACTACAAAAAATTCACAAGTCTCAGGGAATTTAGTGTAGCATTTTTGTCTCTGTCTATAAGTTTATGATTTGTTCTTCCCACAATAATCAGTACCTCCCTTTCTAAGAAAATATTGTAAAAACTTTTAGTCATATTGTTCTTTCAGTAAATTACACATAATTGCTTCTGAACATAGTAGTAACTACTTACAAAGGCTATATGCAAGGAAGACCTGACCTGTCTGCTTCAAAAAAGCTTGATACTTGTTGAGAAAAAATATTTTCCATATAGAGAATTTATTCAGACAGCCCATGTAATCGTTGTTATTAGTTTTTAAACATTATGAATTTGCTGAGTATGCTGTTGCAAACTCTCGTCCTGCCTATGGGATTGTGATAATTCAATTCCTTATTGTGAAATTATTTTAAATTATTTAGTTTAAACATCAGCAGATTGTTGCTGCACAACTCACATTTCCTCCTATGTATGATTTCTTTCATTACTGTAATTATAACCATTACTACTGTTGTTATTATTGCATACCTGTGAGTTGGAACATTAGTGGTCTTAAATCTATTTCATTTTGTGATTTTCTAACCCATTGTATTACATTTCAATCATTTTCATATGAACAAGTTTCCCAGCTCTCTAGAAATGGCAACACTGGAAAATCTAGTCAACACCAGATGCCATTTCTGTGTGGAGGACCTTAAGCTAATGGTGACGGAAGTTCACTGTAACTGTTCCCTACCTCTCCCATGTCCTGAGATGGGCTGCAAGTCTGGCAGTCCTCACATGCTGGAGTGAGCTTTTGTATTTACTGGATTTGTATAAATTAGAGCAACTCTTAGACAGGTGTGAGGGAATTTGGAGCTTTGTCCTACACAATCATTCTGTGTTGCATGCCCATTGAGAAGATCTGACCCTTTCGTTGATGACTGTTTTTCATTTAACACTGTTCTTAGGAAAGTCTTTCCCCACTAGAAGCTAGTTGATTGATACCCTTGGGACATGTATCTAGGCTAGATCTGAGTGAAATGTAAGCTATACTGCGACTTCACGATCTGGTGGATGTAGCATTGCTTCAGACTTCGAGTAGAAGTACAGATTTTTTCCCACCATCATTACCGCAGCTCTGCTGTTTATCTATGTGACTTTTGTTTCTTTTACATGTTCATTAGGACCTTTGTCATTCTGTGGAAAAGCTGAGCAATGCTCTGGCCTCTCTCTCAGCCTGTGCCCGAAAGGTGGCCAACAAAGGAAGAGCTGCTCAGGAGGTTACAGCATTGCAGCAGAAATATGAAAAGGTGCTAGAAAATGCTAAAGAGAAGCAGACCTTATTAGAGACTCTTCTGGCTCAGTGGCAGAAGTGAGTAGACTCTCACATCTGTTATGAAGGACACAGAGACCTTCCTGTGGTCAGTGTGTTAGATCAAGGGAACGACTTGAGTTGGTGACTCTGTGTTGTGATTTTGTTAGGCAGGAGAAGGAGCTGTCTGCCTTCCTGACCTGGTTGGATGTGTGTGAAGATACAGCCAGGCCTTCAGAGCAATATGTTTCTGCTGACAGAATTAAACTGGAAGGTGAACTGCAGTCACTGCAGGTATGTTTCAACTGAAAGATTGTTCCCGTACCTTTCCTCATTTGTTTCTGTGTCTTTTAAAGGATGCTTAATTATTGCTCAATTGTGGTCTGACAAGTCACTTGATTCTGGGCTTTGGAAATGTCCAAAGGAAGTGCTACACTATCACTGTTGTTATTTATCAAAGACAAGAAAATGACAGGAAGAATGTTGTTTGCCAGTGTAATATGCCAGCTCAAGAAAAATAATGCCCTGGTATTTCCTATTATCTGTCAAGGAAGAACATTAGTCAGCTTGCCAGGGGATTCTTTCTCTAGAGAAATTATTTTGTTAAACAATGCTACTTTCCTTTTTTTGCATGTGAGGAAAGTTGCTCAGATGACAAAACGCTGAAAGGTTTTGAATGCACAATGAAAGTCTGTTTTCTGATTTCTTTTTTAAACACAAGACTGTCATCCTATTCTGAAGTATACCTTCCCTTGGAATTTTTGCCATTTATTTTTAGATTAATATGAAGTAGTTGGCCAAATGTAGCATCTTTTACACCCTCCGTGAAACAATGAGTCCATAATTTCAGTTTTAAATATTGCTGAAGAGAAGGAAAATTCTTTGGGGTTTTGGTTTTTTGTTTGGGCCAATGTACGACATTTCCTCACAATTCTGTTGCTGTGCATAAAATATGTTGCAAAACTTAGTCTTGATTTTAGCCACTTTCGTCATAGAGTAGAGCTGTGTGAAAAGGTCACACTTTGTCCTAAAGGAGAAACAAAAACAAAAAAATCTTTGATGAATCCTTGCTGAATTACAATTGCAGATTTAGCTGCCTGAGGGGTGTTGAGTACCTGCTTGTCCTAGTAGACCTCAGTTCCTCCAGTGTTTTGACTGTGCTCATTCACATGTCTCAAAGTGGCGTACTGGAAATCCCTAGCTGATTTTAAATTATTTTTATTATTTTGCATAATATGATCCCATATTTAATCTAAAAGCTGTACATTCCATTGTTTTCCCAGGATTTGCAAGCAGATATTGAGTCCCGTGCTTCAGTCTATGCGAGCCTATTACAGTTAAATGAGTCACTATTCCCAACAGCTCCCGAACAGTGTGTGAAAACAATGAAAGAAAAATTTGAAGAGCTGGATGAGAGGTGGAAAGCTTTACCACAAACTGTTGATAAAAGGTTTGTGCTTCAGAATGTTTTTTACAGGTTAAATATCCGGATGAGGAATCTCAATCCTGAAACAGGTTTTTATACTATTGCCATTAGGAAAACAAAGGTTTAAGATTCATATTGAACCCTGAGCACCCAGGACTGGAGTGTGGGGAATCCCACAGATTTATCACGCTGTCTTTTTGGCATAATCTCTCCTTATTTTTTTGATAGAAGAGTTCTGTTTAAAGGAGTGTGGGGCACAAAGTGGAGACAATGTTACATTTCCTCAGTTACAATTTCTAACTTCCTAAGTTGCATCCAATATCTGTAATACTAGCTCTTCATTTTTTCAGTTATATGCTGTATCCTATGCAAAGCCACACTAGTATCTTTTTATACCCACTCTGAAGTCTTCATTTTCCATAAATAATTTAAATGTTCAGTTGTTAAACTGCGGGCTCATGTTATGCTCAGGAGCACTGCCTCGCTTTTTGAAACAGTATGTTATAACGTGTTTAGATTTTGTTTTGGGGACGAACATACATATTTCACTTTTTGTAAAGGAGCTTAAATAGTAGGCCCTGGTCAATGACATAATCTTCCAGGTGCTTTATCAGTATGATTGTTTTACAATATAATGATCTTCTACATAGCATTTCATGTTGAAAATTATGTAGAGAAATTTCTAAGGGAAATGGGAAGGTAAATGACAAGGCCCTTTTTCAGGTCAAGGTTTAGAAGCTTAGTTCTTCCAGGTGCTCGGTACTCCTGTGGACGCATTCCTCCTTTGAGTTGTGTTCCTCTGAGCACACTTGACCCTCACTTACTTCAGTGGAAGTTGAGCATGCAGGTTCTCACCCCCAGCCTGAATTCATGAGACTCTCACCTTTTCTTCAGTGTTGCAGATGATAGGGCAAACAGAATTTTTACATCTGAAAACTGAAATTTAGCTTCCATCAATATCATTCTCTTTGCTGGGATGACTCCCATGAAGAAAAGTTATAGAACATACCTTGATTGTTTCGAGCACTTCTAACAGCTGATATGAATAAAACAGTGGAAACAGGGAAGAGCCAAACTGGTGCTTTCAAGTGTTACTCTATTCCCCACTTAAGATATCAACAAGACAGTCATCACATTTGTAAAATATATTAATGTTTCCTTCTCTTCTTCCATCTGGCATTGATTTTAATGCTGTTCAGTCAGCTGTGGGTTGGATTATGGGAAGTGACTAATTTACATCAAGTGCTTTCATATTTGCATCTGACATCCTATAGGATCAACTTCCTTCAATCTCTTGTTGCTGAGCATGGGCAGTTTGATGAGCTCCTGCTCAGGTTTTCAAACTGGATTAAGCAGTTTCTTGCTGAACTACAGGCCACTTCAGAGATAAACACAGCTGATCAACAACTAGCTGCATCTCACAATAAGGTAAGCTTTTGGGTGTAAATATTAAAGACAGAGTAATTGGACAGAGCATTCAGCTAAATAGTCATCTAAAACTAGCATGAGGTCATTTATTTGTTTGAAAACCGATATCCTGTTGCAGTCACATACAGATTTCTGTTATTTGACCAGTTTAAAGCAAAATTGTAACACTAAGCTGTTCTTACTGAAAATCTTTCAGTAGTGTGTGTTTTGCTCAGAATTTTAGTACTAAAAAGTTTTCTGAGCTTTTGATTGGAAGAAAAAACCCAGCCCTATTTTCTTTCTTTCCCATAGATCCACTCAGTGGAAGTCGGAATTAAGAAACAGCAGTTACAAAATCTGAAGGAACTTGTAGATAAACTGTGTTCTTTCAGCTGCCCAGAGGACCAGCAGATATTGCAGGGAAAGACTGAAGATTGCTTTCAGATCTTCCAGGAGGCAAGTCAAATAACATGCCAAAGACAAGAGGCTCTGGATCAGCTGCAGGTGTTCCTGGAGCTCTATGGTGCTGCATCAGGAGTGCTCCACCAGCTGAGGCAGACAGTGGAGAAAACAGGAAATATGGATAAAGCTAAGTCTGAATTACTGGAGAAGGAACTCAAAGCTGTTATCCATGATCTTAACAAGCTGGAATCTGTTGCCATCACTTTGGATGGTTCCCTTACTAAGGCCCAGTATCATCTAAAACACAGCACTTCTGAGCAGAGGACCTCCTGCAGGGCTGTGGTGGATAATCTGAGCATGGAACTGGAGGCAGTTCAAACCCTTCTGGGAACCAAACAGAGTGAGGCAGAAGCTCTTGGAGCCTTGCGAAGATCTTTCGTGGAACGTAAAGAACAGCTGCTGAAGAGTATTGAAGATACTGAGGAAAAGGCTGACAAGGAGGGCCTGAAGGAGGCAACACTACAAACCCTCCAGCAAAGGTAAAAACAATATTAATGCTTGAGATTGGCACTTCTTCATTTTCTTGCAGTCTCTAGACTTTTTATGATACATTGGAGACATGTGTGAGTTTTCTGCCTTGGTACTTTATTTCTTGCCAGGCATATATGAATCCATATATCTACTTAAAAAAATGTTGTAAGTGAGCGAGCTCTTTGGATGGAGAGAGAACACTTAACAGGTCCTGCTAATCTTTTGTATTGAAAGAATGGTCAAGAAAATCTTTGTCTCAGAAATGTATTTTGTCTGCATGAATCCAAGCTCTGAACAGCTATTAGAAATCTCATGTAGCATAACTATCTCTGCTCTTACAGAACTGAAGACAGACCATGTGCTGAAGGAATTGAAAACACTTACTATAATAAAGTATTAATCCAAATATTTGAGTATATTTCCAAGTCACTGTGTGAGGTTAAGGTGTATGTATGTCTATATAATTGTATAGCTGTATGTGTGTCAGCAAAATCACATACTGAGCCCAGTTGTACCAGAAAAAAAATCCAGACCACACTTTGTTTTCTGAAGATGTTGCAGGAAATGTTAGAAAAAGGGAACTTTGTGCACAGTAACTCTAACAGCAACTGTTTCGTTCTTCCTTTATCCACTTTTCTCTTGCAAAAAAAAATGAAGATAGGTAAATTTGAAACCTGCCTTTTAACTTGCAGATTGAGATTCTTTAACCAGCTAGATGAAGAATTGACTTCTCACCAGCATGAACTTCAGTGGCTCATGGACAAAGCAAAACAAATAGCCCAAAAAGATATTACACTTGCTCCTGAGATCGACAAAGAGATAAATCGCTTAGAATCTTTGTGGGAGGATACCAAGAAAATTATACATGAAAAGTAAGTAGATCTTAGACTGAAGGTGGGAAAGGAGAGGGTTCATTTAGTGGGGAAAAGAGACACGATCATTTACATTTAATATCTTCTTGCCGTATTAATCCCAATAAAAAACAGTGCTCGTATGTTAAATAAGGAGTAGAAGAAAAAAGGCAGTATAAACCAGGATAGTTGTATCGGTTATAATTATACTATTAACAAAGCCACAGACAGGTCCTCAGGACAGTACTTATAGATTTACTGGGCTTTTAGTTGCATGTTGTTGTTTACTCTCCTGAAACATAAGAAATCTCCATTGAGATTTCACTGTCACTCCAACTAGCACGTACTGTCCTTCTAGCAAGTTTTTTCCTTCGCTATTGGATATGTGTTTCTGACAACCCTATATTCACTGGTCCTGAATCATTCTTAGATTTAAGTCCTTCTGTCTGCCCAAGGGACCAGGCATGTAACAATCTTTAGGGTGTGATCAGTGATATAAGACAGTTTTGCATATCAATGAAAGTTGACAAAGAAAGGAACTAAAGAAACTAAAGAAAGTTTCATCTTACCCTTTTCTTTGTGTTCACTGCCTCTTCATCATCTTTAAAGAAAACTTCTTCAAATGTTCTTTTTTTAAATGGGCATGTTAAAATTAATTGCTACATTCATTTGGTACTACATCATCCTCAATCTATATAAATTTTGTCTTCAGTGCAGAAGCAAAGCAGTTCTAAGCCTGGCTCATACTTCAACAGGCATATGCTGGGTTGGTGTACTAAAATGACGATTCAAAAAGAATTTCATTTGTGATGAAAAACAATTTTTTTTTCTTTTGGTTTATATACTGCACTGTTATTCTATTTTCTTGATTGACACCATACAGATATTTGTAAATAAATCAGGTCATTGTACTGTTTCCCTCTTGAAAATATGCACAGCTACATGAATTACATTTCTGGTGGTTTATTTCCAGCTGAATTCAGTCTAGTTTTCCATTGTGTTTTTAAGAGATGTGTAAATCTGAATTAAGTGGAATAAAAGGTCAGCTTTGTTTAAAAATGTCCATCCCTCCTTTTTCTTCAGCACTGCTTCTAATTTGTATTTCATGTTGCATGTTGCTGCAACCCATTTTTCTTACCTGTAGAAGTCCTTAATAATAGTTAACTGAGTTGTAGCCAGCAGGTCGAGGGAGGTGATTCTGCCCCTCTGCTCTGCTCTGGTGAGACCCCACCTGGAGTCCTGCCTCCAGCTCTGGGGCCCTCAGCACAGGAGAGACATGGACCTGTTGGAGCGGGTCCAGAGGAGGGCCTAACAGATCTGTTAGGCTGGAACACCTCTCCTACAAGGAAAGGCAGAGAGAGTTGGGGCTGCTTATCCTGGAGAAGAGAAGGCTGCAGGGAGACTTTACAGCAGCCTTCCAGTACCTCAAGGGGGCCTACAGGAAAGATGGGGACAGACTTTTTAGCAAGGCCTGTAGTGATGTGACAAGGGGTAATGGTTTTAAACTAAGGGAGTGTAGATTTAGACTTTAGGGTTTTTTGCAGTGAGCTTGGTGAAACACTGGACCAGGTTGCCCAGAGAAGTGGTAGATGCCCTATCCGTTACAGTGTTCAAGGCCAGGTTGGACCTGTCTCTGAGCAATCTGATCTAGCAGCAGATGTCCCTGCTCACTGCAGGCGGGTTGGACTAGATGACATTTAAAGATCCTTTTCTACCCAAACTATTCTATGATTCCAAGTAATTTCCACATACATGCGCCAGAAGCTGGACAGTACCAGCCTGGTAGTGAAGAAAACATAAAATAGCTGTGCCTGCCTTATAGATGCATTACTGAGGTTATATGAGTTGTCCAGTTTTCACATACTGGGGTAGCTGTTGCCATCTTTACACCTAAAACTGAAAGATACTCAGGTACCTCTTGATTCCTTTCTAACATAAAAAATAATGTTAATTTTTGTTTAAATTATTAATTTTATATTTTTTTGAACTATTTTCTCTCTCACATAGACGCAATTTTATACCGTCCTGAACTTGATTATTTTGGAGAGCTCTTTGGAGCATTCAGAGAAGAGCCAGCTCCTTAAGCGATTATCTCTCTCTCTCAGCAATATCATGTCACCCAAGTATTGCTCTTCCTTTTCTCTCTTCTTTCACTCTTCCAGGAGTGGATTGAATAGGTTTTTTATTTCTGTCCATTGCCTGAGCAGAAATAGGCTTTTCTGGAAAGAGGGTGGGAAAAAAGTATTAGGCCTGTTCTTAGCAGCAGGTTATTCTGTTCTCAGTAGAATGACAGGTAAGTTGAATGTATGTTTTAGACCCAAAAGCATGCGTCTGACAACTGGAGGACAAAAGAGACAGACTTATCTTCCATTGCTTTAGTCTTTATTTCTGCTTCTTTTTATCCAAAAAAGTACTCCAAGTTAAAGAAACAAGTTAAAAAAAAAATTAGCTGCAAGTGCCAGCATCAGTGTAGTGTGGTTTCCAGTCAATAAAATGCTAAACTTAGGAAGTGAGAAGCTTGAATTCCAGTTTCAGTCTTATTTTTGCTCACGTCATTTGCTTCGATATCCAATATGTATGAAATGGTGATTCATATACTGTCTCTTCAGTGAGATATTTTGTGATATATGGATCCACAGTGATTTGTAAAACCTAAATAATATTTTCTTGTCTGCCCAAAGCATGTTTAGCACTGCATCCTGATCTTCGCATGGTGAATCTCTACGTTACATTCTCTTTCCTTCAGAAACGTGACAGACAGCAAATGGTGCTAACACAGCTTTTTCATATTACAGAAAGGAGCAGTCCTGGATTCTTATCGACCTGATGAAGGAATATCAGAGCTTGAAGTCAACGGTAATGAAAGCCATAGACAGTGCTGACAGTGCTTCTGTGATCAAATCCATTTGGAAGGATCATGAAGACATCAGGCGAACTTTATCAAAGGTAATTGCATATATTTTCATTTGAGGGATTTAAATGATCTTTGATTTAGATGGATTTTTCTGTATGAAAGGTGCCCTTGAGCTGTGTTTAAAGTTCCTTGAATTTACCGTGAAATCTTTTCACGCTGACATTCATGGTTTAAATTGTATAGATTCGAGTGAGGAAAGAATATAGTCCTTTCAGCATTTAGGTGAGATCCATTAATGTGTATTTGATTGCTCTTTCAACACCTGAGAGTATATTCCTATCGTAGTGTGAGAGGATATTTCCAGTCAACATACTTTAATGTTTTTCTGTATTTGGTAATTTTTTGAATGGATGAAAGTCAACAAAAGAAGATGAGTTGCACACATTTCTGATGTGTGCAATTCTGTTGATACTGGCCATTGAGCAGAGATAAGGAATCTGAATCCCTGTATTCCATTCATTTCACTGTATTGTATTTCTAGAATTCTAGATTCTGCTATCCATCAGCTTGTCAGGAAAAATAGTTCTGAGTTAAATTGTTTCCATTCATTTGAAGGGTAATTTAATTTGGAATCCTGTTGAGCTCTTCATTAATAGTTCTTCAGTCAGCTCTATATAAACCTGCTTGTAACTTCCACATGATTCCTCTGCTTCGTGTGAGCCTTGGGCTGTGGAGAATTCACTGCCACAACAATGGCCACATCTAGGCCTGAAGGAGTTGGAGCACAACAAATGTTTTGCACAACTCCTACCATAATAAATTAGGCATGGCCACATGGCCATACTGGACCCAGATTAGTAGCTTATCTCTAATGCTGATCTTTAATACTTGTTAAAGAAAAAAGTATGAGGTGATTACTGTGATCCCTTCTCAGTATGTTGTCACCTCTTTAGTGACAGTGTTTTAAAGATTTCGCTACACCTAGAACTGCAGACTCACCAGCCCTGAAGATTTTATCTAATTCCTTTCTGAACACATTTGTGTTTATGTTTTCCAGAGTATCTAGGAGTGATAGGTTTTACAATTCTAAATTTTGTTTGCAACACCCTCTACCCTGCTGTAATACCAGAACGGATTTTAGGTACTAGTTAGTGAATGAAGGATTTGTATTATTCATGTTTAGACATATAGAGTCTGAAGTATAGAAAGAATAATATTTTTTAGAAATTGCCTTAAGTCCTGAAGGTAGCTGGTTACCACGTGCGGAAAATCCAGAATTTATTATTCCCACTTGTGTGCTTTATTCATAAGAACAATCATACTATTTGATTATGTTCATGAGAAAACCATGTCAGTTGCTCTCTGTTTTGTGGCATACTTAAATATTAGATGGTATGCTGAATGAGAGTTATCAAATGCATAAGATATATCACAGTGCTAGGGATGGGTGCCTGGAGAACTGGATTTTTCTTTCTTTCTTCAAGGCTTCATTAAACAGGGAAATATTTATGTCCACAGCATGAAGCTGCCAAGAATGATCTGAGCGATAAACAGAAAGACCTGGATACTTTCACTGATAAAGGAAAACATTTGTTAGCAGAATTGAAAAGAGTGCGTAACTGCGACTCCACTGCGATAAAAACAGATATGAACTGCACGGTGGACAAATGGCTGGATGTAAGAGTCTGGTGTTTACATGCTGAACAGTTTTTAAGTTGGGCTAAGGTTACAGTATTAGTATTTTCTTAGGATCTTAGAGTGCAATTGTTTAGTGGAGTTTACTTTGAAGTATATCTCAAAAGGTTAATCATAGGGATTTGGCGTCCATTATATGCACAAAGACATGACATCCGTTTGGTAGATTTAAAACAATGTCTTTTAACTATGTATGAATGTTACCACATGTCTGAGTATAAATATGGATTGGATTCTCACCTGATGTATGCCAGTTTTACTTTATTAAAGTAAATTGGACTAAACAAGTTAGGCAATAAATTGTATTAAGCTACACCATAAAAATGTGAGTATGTGGAGAGAGAGAACGTTATAGCAGAGAAAGATAATGTAAAAGATAATATCTTACATTTTCATATTTATACTGCTTTGTTAGCAAATTCCTACATTATGTAAGAAACATAAAGATAGCTGTTTTCAAAGACAAAGTTGATGTGAACATAAAACTCTTTCCCAGTAAAAAATATACAAGTTTTTAGAAACAGTCACATACGATTTTTGTTCATTTTATGATCTGGGTGACTAAATTGAAATTAGAACTCAGAACTTAGACTAACTCTAAGAAAATTATTTCGCGTAGCATACTAATTACTTCTGATGCACTTGTCTTACAACTGGCTGCAAAATAAAGAAATCTGAAATGAATATGTGAATAGTATTGGTACATTCTCCTCTCCTGAAAGGTGTCTGAAAGAATTGAAGACAACATTAACCGGCTGAGTGTAAGTGTGTCTCTGTGGGATGACATCATGAAAACTGGAGAAGAAATGGATGGATGGTGCAATACGTGCATTTCTCAACTGAATGAATGCATCAGCAACTTGAGTAACAGTCAGAGAATGGAGGTCCTCCTGAAAGACTTCCAGGTGCTTACCCATAAATCAGTGATAAAAATGTTCTGGACCAGAAGCTCAGGTCGTATCAGGCACATAGATATGGCTGTGCTGTTGTAGACCACCGTGTCCCTTGTTCAGGCAGTAGTACCACTAATCCAATGGCTAGCTTACAGCATTCCAGTCCTTTTTTGAAGCTGTTTGCTTCTGACAGAAAAGAACAGAACATCTTTTACCAAATCTAAGCTCCGTATTTATTTTGGCTCTAGCAATGCATGGCAATGTGTTCTTAGAAGCAAAAAAATTTGAAAAGCATGGTACTGCACTGAACTCTGTTCCAGTAGAAACTGATGGAAATTTTAGACAACTTCACTTGAAGTTAAGCAAAACAATTAGTAGTTTCTAAAATCTCATCTAAGATGGTAGATTCTCCAAACAGTAAAAAAGATGTGCTGGAGTGGAGGGCAAATTTTAATGTCAGGTTCTAACAGTTTCAGTAGGATGATGTCTTGCTTTTCTGGATAGTGTAAACTGATTAAGAAATCTACCCAGTGTTCAGAGTGCATTCTGCCTCTATTGGCTTAAAGTATACAGCAGATCAATCATATAATGAGCCACATTCTACTTCATTTGAAATAAATTGTGTCCTGAAGAGGAATCACAGTGAACATATAGAAGTAATATGATAGAATACAAAAGGGTGCTAAATGAGTATTTTGCTCAGGACAAGCTTTATCTAATGACCTTCTGATTAGTATAGCAATCAGACCAAATAAATTCATATAGTAGCATTTTTTAATTCCCTTTTGAAGTTAAAATTTATTTCAGTGTCTAATTTTTTTCCAAGACCTCACTTCCTTGTAATAAAAACCAGAGAACACATGTATTATATTCTGCGTGCCATTAAGTGGAACTTAACAACCACAGTGGATTTTTCCAGTCAGATAAACAATGACATTCCCAGCTTTATTCAGCCAGTTTTAAGAAACTAAAGCTGTTAGTGCATTTTAAATGTGAAAAAAAGTGTGTGGTTATTTTAATGGAGGGGAAAAAAAAATCTCTGAACTGAGTCTAATAAAGGAAAAGAGATGGAGGATTTTTAGAGAATAAAACCAATAGAACAACAGTGTTTTCCCTCTGGTTGCTAAACTTTGTTTACATTTTCTTTCATTTTTGCAATTGATGGAGCAGCCTTCTGAAGGTCTAAAACCTTCTTGTAGTTTGATACGATTCTTTGACCACATCTCTTTTACAGTCTGAAGTCAAGGATAAAGAGCTGAAGTTGGAGCAGCTTAGTTCCAAAATTTCAGAAGTCAAAGAACTGACCCATAGTCACGAGCCTCCTGCAGATCTCCAGGTAAAATAAAAATATTGGTAGTCACAGACTGTGCTGAAATCTCCAAGAAGAAACTCCTCCTGAAACTTCTGTCTGTTCTGTACTGCCTTTTTCTTTCAAGGTGACAGATATGCCATTATTTATATGTATCATAACTATTCTTTACTCATATTTCTTTAGTTAACTTTGTTTTTTTCTGAAAAAATATGCCATAAAGTAATTTAACATTAGAGTTTTGAAAGTATTTTTTACTAAATCAAAATAGAGTAAATAGTTTATAAGGACTGATCAGATATGAGACATGATATTCTCTATGCTGCACAACATTAAGCAACACCATATGTGAGTGCATACACAGTTTGCCCCTTTGAAAATTATAATGCAGTGAAATATGTTAATTTGTGTTTTCAAACCAAAAGTATTCTTTAGTGGACTGGAATTAGTGCCCCGAACTAGCATGTACAAGAAAGGGGTAAAATACGAACACTGAAGGTGATCTGTTGAACTTTCATTATTGGCTAGGTGCTTATTTTTTATGTTCTAGGGCAGATGCAAAACCACAATATGACTATTTTAGAAGTTTGATTTCAAATTGAAATTGGTATGAGATTATTCATTTTCAGTGTCAGAAGTTTTAAAAGATAAGCTGACTCCTGCCATTTCCACAGGCAGGGAAAGATCTCAATAGATATTTATTTCAAAACCATTTATCAGATTTTGAGGGAACTTAATATAACACTCAAGCCTTGTCCATATTTTGCTGTAACTGTACACATAAACCTGAATTACCAATCAGATATGGGTCAAGAACCCTATAATATAAAGATATGCAAATTATATGGAAGCTCTTATGTTCTCTCACGTTGTTTCCTTAATGTGAGAGGTTCAGAAAACTGAGGTTTGATCATAAGTTTTGTAATAAATATCTGTCCACTTATAGAGCAAGTTTAGAGCAAATTATTTAGCAGAATATCACTGTTAACCAACGCACATCTATTTCCAACTACTAAATATGATAAATATAATAAAAAATTTAAATCATACCTACAATAAAATGATTGTAGTTGATATAAAGTGCAAATTTTAAAATAAAGCCTCACAAACTAAAACGTAAATCCGAAATTCAAATGCTGAATAAGTAAACTCCAGTATGATCAGCTGATATCCTAAGAACATAAACAATACTTTAATGGAATTTTCAGTAATTTATAAATATTACCCTATTATCATTGATTTGATTTAGTTTTTATTAGTAATAGTGCACAGCTAACATGTACTATAATCTCACATATTGCTGTCTTTGAACACGTTAATGGGCAATATTCTAACTTATAGTTGTATTGTCTTTAATTTTAATCTGTGTTTACACTGAGATACTCAGTGCTCTTAAGTCTCACCAGTTGTTATTTCTTTTTATGGAGCTAGTCATGTTTAGGTCGTGTGTTGTATATATGGCAAATCGTTAAAGGAAATAGATCAGCTGTGTAATTTTTCAGAAGTGAATAATAGCTTCAACGGTTTGCAGTCTGGCTTTGTGTAAATTGGTATCCCTTCTGTGGATTACCATATATCTAAGATTTAATCCTGAATGGTTGACATTTTTATTTATGTAAGTATCTCTATTTACAAATGTAAAGAGAGCAAAATGATCATGGTGTGTCACTTTCCTACCTTCCATTTTTTCAATAAACTGTCACCATAATAAATGTTTTATTTAAATGCTTTAATACATAACATTTTGGTTTTAGTTTATAGAATCAGATTTGAGGCAGAAGTTGGGACATGTCAAAGAAATGTCAGAGACAGCAAAAGAGACACTGAAAGATTTCAGTACTCAGAAGATGCAGTTACAGAAGTTTATTGATCGCATGACAGACTGGTTAACAAAAGTGGAAGAGACACTGTTAAGCTGTGCGCGTAACCTGGATCCTGAAGCTCTAAATAAAGTGAAGGTCAGTGCTGAAGAACATGAGTATGCCCTTTCCTATGCAGCAGTCTGTTTTTTTATCAGAGTTTTTGCTAAGCATTATACTTAATTTTCCTGTGATAAAATATATATCTCCTGCACAGCTGCTAGAATATTAGCAAATACAGTAATGCTCTCTAAGAAGTTCCACCAATGAACAAAAGTTCTGATCTATTAACTGTATACAATCATTTTAGAAAATTACAAGGAATAATATGGTCTTTGTTGTGACAAGAACCAGCTTTGTTACATTGAACTCTGCAGTCATTACTTCAGCATGTTTACAAGTCCATTGACTCCCTTGCAATATAAGTTATGAACTTATAACTCATCATAGTGAAAGACCCTGGACTGAACTCAATTTTAACATAAACTTCTACCTCAGAAGTCCTCCTCGGTCCTCATGTGTAGCAATACTTTTGTCTACATCCTAGAGCTCTCTCGACTGCATACAAGTATGCACATCACAACATGATAAACTACATGGAGATTTTTTTCAGCATGAGCACATGTTAAAATTGATATACTAGCCAACTCAAATTTAATTTTCAAACAAATGTTCCTCTCTGATCAGGTGAAAATTCCATTTCATTCAAAAGTCCCGCAAAATACCAGTGTCGTATTGCATCTCACATGTACCTTCAAACTTTGCTGAAAATAACTATTGCTATTCAATATGCCTTAAAATTTATCTGCTTTTTAATAGAGTGTTAAACCATGAGAAGCAGTGTTTTTCACATTTCTGTGATGGCTCTTTACTTTCAAGGATTCATCTCACTTGGAAAATACAGGAAACGTGATCCAGTACTTCTTCCCTTCATTGTGTCTAGGACTTGCAATAGGAGGAAGGAGCATACGGGAGGAGCAGAAATGCTTCAGAAGAACAGAGGGCTCTTTTGTTTCTTTACAGATGTCATATTTGTGTTATAACTTCATTTTCAGGAAACACAAAAAGACCTTCAGCTTCAGCAGAGCAGCATTGACTCGACCCGTGAGAACCTCAACAGCCTGTGTCGCAAGTACCATTCTATAGAGCTGGAAACTCTTGGTGGCACTGTCACTTCATTAATAAAGAAGTATGAAGCTGTGAACCAGCTCTGTTCCAGAACACAGGCCAGCATGCAAGAGTCCTTGGAAAAACATTTCCTCTGTGAGTCTTCAGGCTTGTTGATATGAGCCGTTAGCCCACAGCCATGAATCGTTCTGGAGTCTGCCAGAGTTTCCAGTGACCTCACTTGCAATTACAACTTCATTTTTGTGTGGAGCCTTTCAAAAGATCCTGTTACCAAAAGTTCACTTGACAACTGATATGAAACAAAGCATTTCACAAAAACAGATTTCAACTTTAAACATGTAATATGCGTGCAAGGCAAGCTCAGCTCCACCTTTCATCCCTGTTAGTATTGATCTCTGTAGCATACATACACTTTGTGTATTTGCCATAAAGAGATGTACCTAACCAAGCGGAGATATTTGTAATGTAAAAGTCCCCATCTGAAGTATTTTCTGGGCTCCCTGGTTAGCTGGTGGAGAGAAGTAGGAAATTTTGAATCTTATATATTATGGTATTAATCCAGTTATTATCTAACATAAAACTGGGACATATAGACTGAAAATAGCTGTCTTTTCCCAGTGACTGTAAAGGGAAGTCTAGTGTGACTGTCCAAATTTTGATGTTTACACTGGAAACATTTAACTTACTTTTTGTGAAGTGAATCCCACTTCCCAAGGTCATTGAAGGCTATGAGAATCATCGTGTTAGCTTTTGCACACTGTTCCTGAAGGATAAAAGAACTGTGCAAGACAGTTGTATAGTATTGTGGATAATGCTGCTTCTTAAAAAAAGTATTCTCTTCTCTATACTTTTTTTATTAAATAAGATTCTATGCAAGAATTCCAGTAATTGTTTTCTGGTGTGAAGGCTGCAGTAAAAGAATCATCTGACAGGTCTGGAGACAGCAAAGTCATAGAAGCAAAACTACAGGACCTGCAGGTATAGTGAACAAATAAAAAAAAAATAGTAATTAGCAATTTAACCATATGTATCCAATTATATCTCTAAAATAGTTTGTAGATGTTACCGTATTTATTGTTTTTGTTCCCAAAAAGGTAAGTATGGTTCAAGACAGCAATATGTACTGTAAAGGGAATACAGTGGGAACGGTGTTCATTGTCCTGAGAGACAAGAATTTAATTTCTGGAAGGTTTATGTGTAACTCAACTATTCTTGTTTCTGATTTTTAATCTTTTTTCCTTTTTTATTGACTTCTTTCTCTTCCTTTTCCTACTTTTTCTTACACTATTGCTTATTCAATCTTTCAGGTTAACACTGGTATGTCAAAGTTTATCTGTGTAGATTTTTGATGGGACAGAACACAAATAGCAGACACCTACAGTAAGCCACCCTAATTCCTGAAATGTATAACATCTTCAGGACATGACTAAACTATCCAGAGAAAGGCAGGACTACCTTGGGACCAAATAACAAAATCGAGCTCTATGCATTGTAGCACCACTTAATAAAATTTTATTTCAACTATCTGCTTAGAATTTTTGCTATAGGTAGACATGTCTCTCATCTTGCTGGTGAAATCTGACCATTTCTAATAGAAATATTTGTTATCTTCAGTTATTAAATCTTGCGTGTATTCTTTCATTACAGAGTGTGCTGGATTCTGTAAGTGAGGGACAGAACAAGTTACATGCTGCCTGCAAGGAAGGAGAAAGTTTGTATACTTGCTTACCCAAGCCAGTTGTGAGCCATATTCAGGAGCAGATAGCAAAGTCTAACCAGAACTTCCAAGAATTCCTCAACCAGTGTCAGAATGATAAGAAGGCCCTGGAAGCTTGTGCCTCCCACCTGGGAAGGTGAGTAATACCTGTAGCCACAAATGGACTATATGAAATTGTCTGGCTGCACAAATGCAGGGCACAATTTAAAATTATTTCCAGTTACTCTAGTCCTTTTTGCTTTATTCTTTGGAAGTGTTCAAAGGGAAATGAGGTTCTCTGCTAAAAACAAAGCAGCAGGTCTTGTTCCAAGGGTATTGATTTGGTTAAAGAATGGAAGGTCGGGATCATATATGAGGAAGATTTGTGTGGCTCATGTAATCCCAAATCAACAGTTGGAATCTCAGTAATTTAAATGTAATTTTCTGGAAGGAAAAAGGAGTGATGAGTTTTCAAGTTTTGCCCTGGGGTTTGAAGACAGTGGGCTTTTTACACAGCCTGCATCTGCCTTGTCCCATTCCAGATGGACATATTTCCTAAGGAGCTAATAAGAAAACACACTTAAATTATTACTTGGGCCTGGAATTTTGGGAGTCCAGATATTGAAGGTGTAACTATATTCAAAACTGTTGCTAACTGAACGCAAAGTTATTGTAGCGGTAATGGGACAGTCTCTGTTGGAGAGATTGAAAGAACACTTCAGGTGTTGTAAGTGTCAATACTGAGCAAAAGCCCATTTTTACCCATTTTTAAATGTTAGACTAAATCACCATGAGGATTTGGAAAAATCTTTCTTTTGGTCTGTATTGAATCTAGCAATAGATAAAAGCACTGTCACTTTAAATTTTGGAGGCTTCTATTCTCACTGTAGTTCCCATGATTTTGCTGAATATTTTTAGAGAGTTGCTGAATATTTTTAGATTAGTAGTCACTGTGGAATTATGTTTTGTGTACAACTCTTCTTCTCGAAGCATGAAACTGATACTTAACTTTACTTTCCTGGTCTTGTGGCTATTGAAAGAACGGAGTTAACTTCTTCCGAACTTTACTCCACCTGAAAAATATTTTCAAGGGAATATTTATCTGTTGTGTAGCTTTGAAGATCATCACAAGAAACTTGGGCTGTGGATACATGACATGGAAGAAAGAATAAACACAGAAGCATTAGGAGAGAGCAAACAGCTTGTTCCTGAGAAGAAAAAGGAGGTGCAGAAAGTGGAAAAGTTTCTGGAAGAGTTACTGAATTCAAGGTAGTATGAAATACATTTCCTCTCACTTTTTCCTCTGCTAATGCAACAGTGAAACTAAACAGTTGCAGTAGAGTGTGTTTGTGAAAGATAAACGTGTTGCAACATACTCTGTGAAAAGAGGCTGAATGCAGATACTTTTAGTTTTAAGGAAAATGGAACTTGAAGCCAACTCCAAAATTTGATGTTAATATATTTCTCATTAAGAAAAGCTTATCTTACATCATTAATAAATGGAAACTGAAAAAACATGATCTTAAAAAAAAATCATAAAAATATTGCTTGCAATAAAAAATCTTAAAAATATTGCTTGGATAAACAGTAGTAAAAATTACACTTATCATTATATCAATTTTAGAATTTTATTACTTTCTGCCCTGCAGGTCAAATCCAACAGGGCTAGCAGAATCCCCTTTCCCTTATAGCTGACTTTATAAAATAGAGCAAATAACATCCTCGTTAGCTGTGAAATCTTTCTAGAATTCAGACTTGGCCAACAGATCATGAAGTAATTGCCTTTTTTAGTACACAGTGGCTTTTCAAATTCTTTTTTTTATTATTAGGCTGGTGAAGATAGAACAGAAATAGTAGTCAGTTGTTCAAGCCTCACAGCGTGCTGAAAGGAAACACCCAGTCTCTACCTATCCCCTTGAGACTGATGCAAGACATTTTGGTCTGCTGTAAATTCCCTGTAATCACAGGGTATCAGGATTAACTGAGGCTGTATGAACCCAGAGTTTTAATCCCTTTTACTGACTCTCATACTGAACTCCAGAGTCAGTGTCTAATCCCGGACAAATGGCCTCACCTTTCCAGCATGCCTTCCTCGCTGTCAAAGACAACAAACTCCGAAGTTTTGACAGGTGCAAAAAGGTAGCAGTTCATATAGAACTGGAAAGTCCGACAGCTGAAAAGAAAATCAAGTTAGCTTTTAATTCAAATATACAACACAAAGATTTCAGTGTGATGATTTTGAGCACCAAAATCTGCAAGAAATGGCACTGTACACAAGATATTAATTGTTACACACTGTTTATATTTCCTTTCAGTCTCTCCCAGCTAATTTTCCTGCTAACGATGAACTCCGCCACTGGTAGAGTAGGTGATTATGTCAGCAACCTTCTTAGCTTCTGATAGTTGATATAACAATGTCATATGCTTTCTGAAACTGATTTTCAGTCTCAATGTTTTCTTTCAGGGAATCTTTTGATAAGCTGTCCCAGATGGCACAGGCTTTAAATGAAGAAGGACATGGTGAAGGGAGAGAAGTGCGCCTGGCCTCTCAACATCTCACCAATTATCAAAACATGATCAAAACTGTCAAGGAGAAGCTACGAACATGTCAGCTTGCACTCCAAGAGCATCTCACTTTGGAGGAGGCATTACAGAGTATGCGGTCATGGGTGAAAGAAGTTCAAGATAAACTGGCATCTTCAGAGAGCACTGTTGGTAGCAAAGCCACACTAGAGAGACGACTGACACAAATTCAGGTAAAGAAGGATGCAACTAGAGATTACGCATCGAGATTATCATTGGTTGTGGGACACATCAGTGGAAAAGGAATATTTTTGTATTTTATTCTTTCTACAGTTATGAAGGAGAGGATTAGAATTTCAGGTGATCTTGACAAATTGGGAGGTGCAGTATGAAAATCAGGGTGAAGATTAATGGAGACAGGTGCCAGGTATTGCATTTAATAAGGAATAACAAACTATGAAAATGTGTATTCAGGTCCAAAAAAGCTTTCTGATGGAGGGGAAGCCTTGGAACAATTGACACAGAGAGGCTGTGACGTATCTGTTACAGGAGTTGTTCAGGAACAGGCTAGATAAACATCCATTAGCAAGGTCATCAGTGTAGATCCCACCATGGGCTTTCTTGAGATTTCTTCTAGCTGTGTGGTGCTGTCTTTCTGTGCAGTGCTTGGCCTAGTCATTGTCTGCTGCAATGAGAGCAATATTTCAAAATGACCAATGCAGTGAAATACCTGTAAGGCTGTGGGAAAAACTGCTGGATCACTTGCACATAGCAAGGGACAGGCACTTACAAGAAAAGGTGCCTAGGAATTCATACTGGGCATGGCTGTCAAGGATAAATGAGCTCAGAGAAGATGGTGTCCACTGTTGAAAGAATGACATCTTTCACCTCTCAGCAAGCTGCATTTGATATTTTGACTTATTTTGCCTCACAGGAGATCCTCTTACTCAAAGGTGATGGTGAAGTTAAGCTGAACATGGCCATTGGCAAAGGAGAACAAGCGCTTAGAAGCAGCAATGAGGAAGGACAAAAGGTGATACAAACAGAGCTCCAGAGGCTGAAGGATGTATGGAATGACATCACTAGCACCTCCATGAACTGGCAGAGGTAAAACTCCCTGGAAAATGCAGGTCAGACACTGCCATCTTTGCTTAGAAAGAGTGGTACCTTACATCATGGAGAAGTCCATTTGTTCATTACTGGTATGTAAAAGGAAAAATTGTGTCATCAGAGAGAATCAAAATTGCCTGAAAACAATACATTCTTCTATAAAAAATGAGTTGACCCTATCAGATGAATCAAATTTCGTATGAGATGGTAACTGATGGTATTTTAAAAATAAGTAGAAATCATCCAAATTCATACAGAGAAAAAGCTGGAAAGGGCTTTCTGAGTTACTGAATCTGTACTTGGGCAGGACCAAGAGCATCTAACAGATATTTAGCTACCTTTTCCTTACAAAACTCTAGGAAAGTTCTCAATTCTGTTCTATGTTTTTTAATTTAAAAAAAAAATCCTAATATCCACTCCAAGCACTCTTTCTTGCAAATCAAGCTGATTACTTGATGTCTGACACTTAGTACAAAGGCAAAGTTTTTCTTCTTGTCTGTGTATGAACATTTTATGTATTTGAAGGCCTCCATCATCTCTGCTCTAGACAGACTGATGTTTCTCAGTACTAATACTTTCCAGGCCTCTTTCATCCTTGTTTCTTTCTCAGTAGATTGCAGACTGTCACTACTCTGTCTATGGTTTTCTTAAAAGATAATAACTGAAAGTGGGCTGACTTCTTAGTGTATTTGACACCTTATTAATTCTGAATAGAGTATCAATACTTTCCATTTCCTTCGTACAACACTCTTCTTAATCCACTCCAGAATGAGGTTTTCCTTTCTTTACATCAGTACCATATTACAGAATCACAGAATGTTAGGGGTTTGGAAGGGACCTCTGTGGGTCATCTAGTCCAACCCCCCTGCCGAAGCAGGGTCACCTACAGCAGGCTGCACAGGACCTTGTCCAGGCGGGTGTTGAATATCTCCAGAGAAGGAGACTCCGTAACCTCCCTGGGCAGCCTGTTCCAGTGCTGCGTCACCCTCAGAGGGAAGAAGTTCCTCCTCATGTTCAGATGGAACTTCCTGTGCTTCAGTTTGCGCCCCTTGTCCCTTGTCCTGTCTCTGGGCACCACTGAAAAGAGTCTGGCCCCATCCTCCTGACACCCACCCTTAAGATATTTGTAAGCATTTATCCTTCTTGAACTGGGGAGCCCAGAACTGGACACAGTACTCCAGATGAGGCCTCACCAGGGTAGTGTAGAGGGGAAGGAGAACCTCCCTTGTCCTGCTGGCCACACTCTTCTTGATGCACCCCAGGATCCCATTGGCCTTCTTGGCAGCCAGGGCACACTGCTGGCTCATAGTTAACCTGTCGTCCACCAGGACACCCAGGTCCCTCTCTGCTCTCCAGCAGGTCCACCCCAAGCCTGTACTGGTGCATGAGGTTGTTCCTCCCCAGGTGCAGGACCCTGCACTTGCCCTTGTTGAACCTCATCAGGTTCCTCTCTGCCCAGCTTTCCAGCCTATCCAGGTCACGCTGAATGGCAGCACAGCCTTCTGGTGTATCTACCACACCTCCCAGTTTGGTGTCGTCAGCAAACTTGCTGAGGGTACATTCTAACTCTTCATCCAGGTCGTTGATGAAGAAGTTAAACAAGACTGGGCCCAGTACTGACCCCTGGGGGACACCACTTGTCACCAGGCTCCAACTAGACTCAGTGCCGCTGATGACAACCCTCTGAGTTCTGCCATTCAGCCAGTTCTCTATCCACTTCACCGACCACTCATCCAGCCCACACTTCCTCAGCTTCCCTAGGAGGATATCATGGGAGACTGTGTCGAAAGCCTTGCTGAAGTCAAGGTAAACAACATCCATGGCTCTCCCTTTGTCTACCCAGCCAGTCATGTCATCGTAGAAAGCTATCAGATTGGTCAGGCATGATTTCCCCTTGGTGAATCCATGCTGACTACTCCTGATAACCTTCTTTTCTTCCACTTGCTTGATGATGGCCTCCAGGATAAGCTGCTCCATCACCTTTCCTGGGATGGAGGTGAGGCTGACCGGCCTGTAGTTCCCTGGGTCCTCCTTCTTGCCCTTTTTGAAGATTGGAGTGACATTGGCCTTTCTCCAGTCCTCGGGCACCTCTCCTGTCTTCCAGGACCTCTCAAAGATGATGGAGAGTTCCTCAGCAATGACATCCGCCAGCTCTCTCAGCACTCGTGGGTGCATTCCATCGGGGCCCATGGATTTGTGGACATCCAGATCGCTTAAGCGATCCCTCACACAGTCCTCCTCGAGCAAGGGAAGGTCATCCTCTCTGTAGGCTTCCTCTCTTACCTCCAGGGCCTGGGATTCCTGAGGGCCAGTCTTAGCACTGAAGACTGAAGCAAAGAAGGCATTCAGTAGCTCTGCCTTCTCCGCATCCTCCGTCACCAGGACACCCACCTCATTCAGCAGTGGCCCCACATTGTCCCTAGTCTTTCTTTTGCTGCTGATGTAGTTGAAGAAGCCCTTCTAGTTGTTTTTGACATCGCTTGCCAGATTCAATTCCAGGTGGGCCTTGGCCTTCCTCGTTGCATCCCTGCATGCTCTGACAACATTCCATATTGCTGAATTTTGTTTTTGTTTCCTTCTTTATCCTGTACTATCTCCAAATCCTTTTCCACAGTACTAAGCCTAGGCAGTTATCCCCGATTTTGTATCTGTGCATCTGATTTCTCCTTCCTAAGTAAAGCATTATTTTCATCATCATTTATCATCAAATTCCATGCTTTTTACATTTATTTTAAGAACATCTGACATTTACATCCTGTCATCCGGCTAGCTGCAGCCACTCCCCAATTGCTTTCATCTGTGGGTTTTACAAGCACACTCTGTTCCATCATGCCAGTCATTACTGGGTAGAAATGGGCTCTTTTTGAACTTGTGCATGATCCTACTTCCTTAGTTGTCTAAAGAAGACAATGTTTTCCCTGCATGAGAAAACTCATAGGTCTGCATCAGAAAGGTCATAGATCTGTATTGTAGACTGTCTGAGTACTAGGGTATCTGGGTCCTAAATATCAGCTGTCAATGGTGAGAGCCACGATATAGGTAGATTAGTTTTTAATTTGAAAGTGGTGACACTTTCCTTGCTTATTCCAAATTTGTAATACAATTATGTGTAGAAAAATATAATTGGCTGCCTTTAGGATTTCACCCAATTTTTGTCATAAAATTATTTAGTTATTTAGATTAGGCTAGACCATTACATTTTGTATGAAATCCTTACCACACTCATGTCTATCATTAAGTCCAGTGGAATGCAAATTACATTCCTCAACATAAATCCCAAAGAAATCTGGTGATCTGCTAGGAGGAGCAATATACAACAGAAGAGAGTATTTCTTGTAGATGGGGCTATATATAATTGATTTTTTCTTTGAAACTTGCCACAATATCTCTTAATTTTCAATAATTTTGTAGGCTACTGTACACTCTATTACTCTGATCATAAAGAACTCCAGTGATGCTCTATATTTTACTTTGATGGACAGATACTGAAATGTGCTTCTCATTAGCCTGAGACAGACAGATTGTTCATGTAGCCTGTAACAGGGAAGCAGCTATATCAGGTTATACCCAGTAGCCCAAAGAACACAGAAATTCTAAAATAGCTTGATGTAAATTGACAGAAAACTAAAGCAAGATGGAGGAAAAAGCGTATTTTAAATGTATTATACATGGCTACAGACAGTGTAACAATTAAGGTATAAGCAGACTCTTTTTCCCAGACTTTTCAAAAGTTCGCATCTGTACTCTGTTTGTTTCTTTGAATGTAAGCTGCCTAGAGTCTGTCATTAGCCAGTGGAATGAATATCTGGAAAAGAAAACCCAGCTGGAGCAGTGGTTAGAGAAACTGGATCACAAAGTGGAACAGCCTTTAGAACCACAGATTGGTCTGAAGGAGAAGTTTGCTCAGCTGGACGACTTCCAGGCTATTGTTTCTGAGATAGAGGATCACTCTGGTGATTTACAGCAAATCATTGAAAAAGCTGCGGAACTGTATGAAAAGACAGAGGATGATTCTTTTCGAGAAGCAGCTCAAGAAGAACTAAAAACACAGTTTAATGACATCACAACTGTAGCCAAGGTAAGAAAAAGGCAAAGGTCTCCATTTCAAGCAAGTATAATGTTTAAACATCTGTATATAAGGCTAAAAGTTTGATTTTCATAATTTTTTAGTAACTAAAGGATTGACTGTATTTGAATAGTCTTGCCTTTTGTAATGGTTGAGTTTAGCAAAAACGTTGGATGTCGTTTGCTAAAATTCACTGGAATGCAAAATAGGTATTGGGAACTGAAATTTGCATGGTTATGATTTTTGAAGAGTGAGGGGCATATAGTTAATCCTTAGTTTCATATATACAACAATATTTCTGACATTCTTCCAGACTGATTTTCATCTAATTCTTTTACATTCATCCCCAGCAACATTTTTTCCCCAAGAAGAGAAAGATGAAATGCCTTCCTGAGCAGAAAATATATTATCAGAAGGAGAAATCCTATTGTCAGAAAGATCTATGCCCATTTTTTGTAGTGTTTTAAGCCACTAAGCACTGCACATGTTATACAGGTATTCTGTTTGGTTTCTAAGAAAGGATACATGAGCTCACTGAGACCTTCTGCCAACCAGATCATGACAAGGACACTAGCTCGGAGTTGCAGCCTCCACCTTCTCAGCTAATGGGAAAGTTTGGACCAAGAAGAGGCCACATAATAACCAGCTAATCTGAGACTGAAGTAAACACTGCATATAAATCCAGTAATCCGGTCTAAGTGTGATTCGGGTTTTCATGTATTGAGAATAGTGTAGACAGCCTGTAGGTAGTTAATCTGTGGTCTATATAAAAATAGTACCAGAGTGAAATATTAGTGGAAGATCTAACAAATTATCTCTTTGGAAAAATGTTAAATCTAGGGCGTATGAATTTACTTCTTCAGTAAAAATCTGCATTTTTCTTACTAATCATGATAGAGGAAAGTCATTGTGTGGAATCATGCAGTTTGGTTTTGGATTTGTTTTTTTAATTTTTGTATTATTGTCATTGTTTTATTGCTTTAAACATATACCATAGATATTAGAGCCTTCTTAGATGTATCTAGTCTATAGTTGCCATCTAGTCACAGTTTTGGTTTTGTGATGAACTTTTGCTCTCTTTTTTTTACTGGCAATATTAAGCTATGAATCTGGTTTCTAGCGAATTAGTGCAGTTTCATCCTTGTATAACTCTGCTTCTTTCAGCGGTGTTAAATCTGGAGCAATACCCAAGATTACTGACTCACTCAATACAATGCTTTTAAACTTGTGTGAAAAGAGCATCATAAGAGAGCATCGCAGTGTTCTCCTAAAATCAATATGCACTAATAAATTTAATTTCTTAAACGAAAAAGACAGCTTTGCAGTCTTTCACTTGAGAGAGAACAGCACTGACTGCAACTGGTAAAAGCCATTGCCACTGGAAGAGACCAACTAAAGCTGCACTCTGCCTTCACTCTCCCCCTCTACGGGTGCTATATTTTGGTGTAAGCAAAGTAAATGAAGGTCCATGGTTGCTTTTCTTTGGAGCTCTTTTGCTTCCCTAGGGAGCTGTCTATTTTGTTTAGTAGGCACATGTGGAGATTTTCTTGCTCTGTTGTTGCATAAAATGCATTAAGATGTAAAAACTGGGAGCATTTACTTTAAGTCATGTTTGTTTAGCTAGTAACCATCCATTGTCTGATTGGTCTAACACATTCTGAGAAATTAGGATGATTGCTTTCAGAAGGAACAGGAGGGCTTATTAGTCTAACTTAATTTTTAAAAGCATTGGTTGAATGCTGAATTATTCAAAATTATAAATAACTGGAGTTTAATTCATAAGTAAGTTGTTTAGTTTGAAACCAGTTTAAGGACACTTAGATGTAGAATATCCACACAGAAGTAAAAAGTTATTTGATTAGCTCAGTTCGCTTTAAGTTAGTTTTGATACACATGCCTGAGTCTTAGTTCACAAGAATGTAAGAACAAATCTACTCAGTCAAACCAAAGGCAATTCTAGACCAGTGCACTATTTCACCTTTTCATAGTAAGGCAAACTGACCTCACTTTAAGCTTACGTTAATAAGGTAAGAAGGAGCCATGAAGCTGTTGTCTGCGTCGGGGAAAGCATCCTCCAGGGTTGCAACCACTGATCTGGTGGTTGAAATGGGACTGAGCACCGTAAGAACCTTTTGCGCTTTTGAACAGCACAAGTCCTCCTTTGTAGTCTTCGTATGGGACATCTCTGTGACTCTGCTTATCTTGGTGCTTCTAAGTAAGAGCTGTGTTTCTGGGAGCATGCTGCTCCCTGGGACAACTCAAGGGTCATATGTAAGACCGTCTCCAGGGGATACAGGGAGGAGGGTGCCAGAGCTGCACAGCTGCAGCTTTGACATCTATTAAATGATACATTTTGTGTTAAAGGATGCGTCAAAGTGCATTTTTGCATACCTTTTCAAAAGGCTGCTTCTTCTTTTGCTCCAGCAGAACATGCCAGTCCAGACCAACCTAAACCAAACCTCGTGCAGTGTCGCACTGTGTTCTGCTGTTATAAGCAGCATTCAAGTGGGTGCCATAGAGTCGGACCGGCACGCTATACCACTGCGTTCTTAAAGCCAGGAGAGTATTTGAGCACTTTAATGGTCTCTTTTTTCTTCTGAATGACAGGAGAAAATGAGGAAAGTGGAAGATATTGTGAAGGATCATTTGCTATACCTTGATGCTGTGCATGAATTCACAGACTGGCTCAGTTCTGCAAAGGAAGAGCTGCACCGCTGGTCAGATGCATCTGGAGATACACCAACCATACAGAAGAAGCTAGCCAAAATCAATGTAAGATAAGTTACCTTTTCTGACTGCATCTGCGATTCAGACCCTATGCTCTAAAATAGGCCAGAGCAAAAAAAGTTCTGGGATCTTGCTCTTTGTGTATTTGAAATGGTGATTACATTTCAGTGAGCTGAAAGCAAGCATTCTAAGCTATGTTTTGTTCTCTCCTCCCTTCCCATATTAAACTGATGAAACAAATGTACAATCAGACCCGAGTTAGCCACGGCACACATGGAAACAATTTGCAAGAGCGGAAGCCCAGTGGCATCACAGAAGAATGTGGCTTAGCTGATTAATGAATACCGCTCTGCCCTCATCCCCCAATCTGTTTTCTCCATGAGCAGAGGTGTCTGAATCAGCCAGAAACAACCTTTTCTGATTTGTGTGGAATGGAGATGCATGAAGGAGTGCAAGGATTGTCCTCCTCAAACACGGCAGAATCATGTGGGTTGCCTCCCCGTATGTGCTCTCCTTACCCTGGCCTGCATTCCTAGGCGTTGCAGTGCCCAGGCGAGTTACATGCTCCCGAAGGCAGCGTTAAAGCAGAGAGCATGTTTTGCTGGTGCCTGATGTTCACGTTCAGATACTCACGTTGCCAGCATGTTACTCTGCTCCCAAACACGAGAGTGGGTCAGCGAACAGTCTGCTAGGTGAAGATTCAGGATACACAAGAGCAAATCACAGGTTTGTTGTACACCCTCGGATAGTTTTCAGTCTCCTTTGTGTTCAAGCTCCCCATGTATAAAACAAGGAAGGGAGGAGGTAGTAGTTTCTAGCTCATAAGACTAACAAGAGAATAAATAACATTATCCTGGCCTGCATTGATTGGGATGATATTTATATTCTCCAGCTGAAAGCTCCCAAAATTCACTTGTAGCACGTGTAAGATTGAAACAAGACAATGTAGAAAGAATTTTCTTCTGGAAAAAAAAAAAAAAAAAAAAAATTCACTTAAAAAAAAAAAAAAAAAAAAAAAAAGAAAGAAAGAAAAAGACACGTGCTACCGAATATGGGTTTACCAGATCCTGGGTAGGCTGTAAAATGATTTTTTTGAGCGGCGCGCTTGTGTTTTTCAAACATCTGTGGGTGGCTGAGTGCCGGTGTTGCTTGTGCCGGAGGCCACGGTGACCTTACTGCTTTGTGCACCTTAACTTAAACTGTGTTTTTCAGAATCCAGAGGCGGCTCTTAATCAGAGAATCATAGAATCATAGGTTGGAACAGACCTCTAAGATCACTGAGTCCAACCATCCACCCAACACCACCACACCTACTAAACCATGTCCCGAGGTGCCACTTTTTTGAACACCTGCGGGGACGGTGACTCCACCACCTCCCTGGGCAGCCAGTTCCAGTGCCTGACCACTCTGTCCGTACACACAAATTTTTCCTGATATCCAAACTGAACCTCCCCTGACGCACCTCGAGGCCATCGCCTCTCGCCCTATCGCTAGCTACCTGGGAGAAGAGACCCACACCTGCCCTAAGCCGGTGAAAGTTTCAGAACCTCCGCCGAGCTTTGGTCTCCCAT